TTTTTTTCATGAAATCTGATTTTGTTTGTTGTTTAACACTGCACTCAGCAATATTCCAGCTATATGACGGCGGTCGGTAATGATCAAGTGTGGACCAGACAATCCAGTGATTGACATCATGAGCATCAATCCACTCAATTGGGATACGATGACATGGATCAACCAAGTCAGCGAGCCTGACCGTCTGATCCTGTTAGTCACCTCTTACGGCAAGCATGAGTTCTTGAAGACCTATTCTAACCCGGATCTTCACAGGTTTTTTTTATCATGGCTACACACACAAGACTTTCATCCTTTGTGTTTAACGTGATCAACACTGGGTCAGCATCCATATATGACCCACAACTGTATCACAATGTTGCTTTTGCAGTGTTAGAATTAACGGGGTCCCAGGATCTGTGAGGCTTGTTGTTGCAGTAATTGAATCTGGGGACCCCCTAAGTTTTTCATTTTGATGTTTTGGTCATCATTTGGTCATGACCCCACGGTTGTCATTCTGCACATACTGAACACTGCTGTTCACATACCCTGAAGCAGAACGCTGAATAGTACACTAGCAGGAGTTTCATGGAATACATCAGTGTGGCAGGTTCCCTACAACTCTCCCTTCATGGGACGTTTCTCCAAAGTGTCAATAAAGCACTAGTTTATGATACTTGAGGCTGATGTAGGAGTGATGTGGTGGTGGCCTCTGGTCAGATAATGGCTACCTTCATGGTCATAGGGAGTCTCAGCCATGGTACCAGCAGGTACAGGAGGAATTGCTTCTCAGTGTCAGGGTGGAGCGCATGTTGTTGTGCCGTGGTACTACCAGGTCTAGGAGGAACTGCTTGTCGAGGGGCTGGGTGGAGCACCCATTGTTGCACCATGCTTGGATGGTTTGTTGGTATATCACTTGGCTTGCTTAAAATCTATCATGTGACAACTTGTAATTGAAGGGTATCTTGATGGGATAGGGGTAAACAGGGGTCATTGGAGATGGCCAGGGTAAGTTAGAAATTGTAGAGTATAGAGATAGTCAGGGAGGGGTGTATGGGGGTAAGGGAGGCTGCTGGTGAGGTGGAAATGGTAGAGCATACAGATGGCCAGGGAGGTGTGTATCGGTGGTGGAAATGGTAGAGCATAGAGATGGCCAGGGAGGGGTGTATCGGTGGTGGAAATGGTAGAGCATACAGATGGCCAGGGAGGGGTGTATCGGTGGTGGAAATGGTAGAGCATACAGATGGCCAAGGAGGTGTGTATGGGGGTAAGGGAGATGGCTGGGGGTGAGGTGGAAATGGTAGAGCATACAGATGACCAGGGAGGTGTGTATGGGGGTAAGGGAGATGGCTGCTGGTGAGGTGGAAATGGTAGAGCATACAGATGACCAGGGAGGTGTGTATGGGGGTAAGGGAGATGGCTGCTGGTGAGGTGGAAATGGTAGAGCATACAGATGGCCAGGGAGGGGTGTATCGGTGGTGGAAATGGTAGAGCATACAGATGACCAGGGAGGTGTGTATGGGGGTAAGGGAGATGGCTGCTGGTGAGGTGGAAATGGTAGAGCATACAGATGGCCAGGGAGGGGTGTATCGGTGGTGGAAATGGTAGAGCATACAGATGACCAGGGAGGTGTGTATGGGGGTCAGGGAGATGGCTGCTGGTGAGGTGGAAATGGTAGAGCATACAGATGGCCAAGGAGGTGTGTATCGGAGGTGGAAAAGGTAGAGCATACAGATGGCCAGGGAGGTGTGAATGGGGGTAAGGGAGATGGCTGGGGGTGAGGTGGAAATGGTAGAGTGTACAGATAGCCGGGGAGGTGTGTATCGAGGTGGAAATGGTAGATCATACAGATGGCCAGGGAGGTGTGAATGGGGGTTAGGGAGATGGCTGGGGGTGAGGTGGAAATGGTAGAGCATACAGATGGCCAGGGAGGTGTGTATGGGGGTAAGGGAGATGGCTGCTGGTGAGGTGGAAATGGTAGAGCATACAGATGGCCAAGGAGGTGTGTATCGGAGGTGGAAAAGGTAGAGCATACAGATGGCCAGGGAGGTGTGTATGGGGGTAAGGGAGATGGCTGGGGGTGAGGTGGAAATGGTAGAGTGTACAGATAGCCGGGGAGGTGTGTATGGGGGTAAGGGAGATGGCTGCTGGTGAGGTGGAAATGGTAGAGCATACAGATAGCCAGGGAGGTGTGTATAGGGGTAAGGGAGATGGCTGCTGGTGAGGTGGAAATGGTAGAGCATACAGATAGCCAGGGAGGTGTGTATGGGGGTAAGGGAGATGGCTGGGGGTGAGGTGGAAATGGTAGAGCATACAGATGGCCAGGGAGGTGTGTATGGGGGTAAGGGAGATGGCTGGGGGTGAAGTGGAAATGGTAGAGTGTACAGATGGCCAGGGAGGTGTGTATAGGGGTAAGGGAGATGGCTGGGGCTGAAGTGGAAATGGTAGAGCATACAGATGGCCAGGGAGGTGTGTATGGGGGTAAGGGAGATGGCTGGGGGTGAAGTGGAAATGGTAGAGTGTACAGATGGCCAGGGAGGTGTGTATGGGGGTAAGGGAGATGGCTGGGGGTGAAGTGGAAATGGTAGAGTGTACAGATGGCCAGGGAGGTGTGTATGGGGGTAAGGGAGATGGCTGGGGCTGAAGTGGAAATGGTAGAGTGTACAGATGGCCAGGGAGGTGTGTATGGGGGCATATGGGAGATGCCTGGGGGTGAGGTGGAAATTGGTATAGTATAAGTAGACCAAGGGGTAAGGTGAGATAACAGTGGCAAGGTTAGAAACGGCTGAGATTCAGGGGCTGTCACTGGAAACACCCCTGGCTTTCACTGTTACACAAGCATCATCATCATACCAGGTGTTCCTGAGATGAAGGTCACTGAGCTTCAGGCTGCAACCTGAGGAGGCTGTCCAGTCATGCATACTGTGCTCCTGGGGAACAGTTCACTTGGTGGGATACACAATACAGCATCATTCTCAAACATACAATATACAAGTTCTGTTTTTTTGGCACAGATTTGTTTTTGTTTCACTGATAAAGAACCTGATTTTGGAAGAATCATCTCTTTTCCCTTTTCAATGATGTATTATAGGTGTATTACGATAGGGCACACTAGTGTCAAGCCCCTGTATATTACAGTCTCGTTAATCCAACATGGCAGGTTGCATATGCTCATGTCGGATTAATGAGTATGTCGGATGAATGAAATTAAGTAGTATCAACGCTCGTGATCGAAAATCGTATAACTACACGATAGATAACGAACTCTTTGTAATAGAAAAAAGAAAAAGGAAATATTCATTTTGTTATGTTAAATTGTTAGGGGAATCTGTTTTCTAAGCATGCAACCTATAAAGTTTAACACAGAACTACTGTTACGGGCTGTATGACTGATTCAAAATACTTTTAAAAGCATAGACTGGAATGAAAGTTTGAAACGTGTGTCGCAAAGCTCAAGAACACTGCTTTCTTAGTGGCTAATGTCCACTTCCTGGTAGTCATTTTATTGGTTGGTCAAAGTTTGTGAAAGGTCATTCTGACGTGACCTGTAATGGAATGTCTTCAGTGGTAGTGAGAACTTGTATCTGATGTTTGTTTGTTGTTTAACGCTGCACTCAGCAACATTCCAGCAATATGATGGCGGTCTGTAAATAATCAAATCTGGACCAGACAATCCAGTGATTGACATCATTAGCATCGTTTCAGGCAATTGGGATGTGATAACATGGATCAACCCATGCTTGCCATAAAAGGCGACAATGCTTGTCCTAAGTGGCGACTAACAGGATCAGGAGGTCAGGCTCGCTGCCCAATTGCGTGGAACGATGCTCATGATATCAATCACTGGATTGTCTGGTCCAGACTCGATATTTACAGACCGCCAAGTGAGTGAGTATGTTTTTATGCCACTTTTAACAATATACCAGCAATATCACAGCGGGGGACACCCGAGTGAGTGAGTATGGTTTTACACCGTTTTTAGCAATTTTCCAGCAATATCATGGCGGGGGAAACCAGAAATGGGCTTCACAAATTGTACCCATGTCAGGAATCAAACCCGGGTCTTCAGCATGACGAGCGAACGCTTTAAACACCAGGCTAACCTACCGCCCTGGGGTCACCTGAAATGGCCTTCACACATTGTACCCATGTGCGGAATCGAACTGGGGTCTTCAGCTTGACGAGCGAACACTTTAACCACTAGGCTACCCCACCACTCTGTACTGTTGTGAGATCAATTGGTGTATGCAGAAGGGGTTATTCCTGGCTCAGAATTAGCTGCAACAACAATCGTGTGAAGTCATCATGAAGGGTTAAGACTTGAGTGTTGACTTCCTTCCTGTCAGCGGAGAGATCCGATATAGACTGCAGCAGACATCACTCCAAGTTGTGACACTGGTCTAATGCGTGAATATAGTCAGGTAGAAGGTTCAATAAAAGTAGTTCTATAAGGTGATAAGAAACCCTCAACACTTCTAATGTCAGAGCTGAAAAGGGGATGCACAAAGGCTGCTGATGGAGCTGAAAAGGGGTGAGAATAGAATTGGGGTGATTGTTTTATTTATTTTCACTATCATTAATATTTCTATGCCAACTAGCATTCATCTTCTTAATGATCTGGCAGTGTGCATGAGGGTCTGCCAGTAAACATCTCTCTCAGTGTTTCTGTGAGAGGCATTTAGAAGTTGGAGTACTAAGTAAGGATACGATATATGGATGAACAACTTCTTTATTACAATTAGGATTAACTTGCTTGATAAAAGTGTTAGAACCTATACCGAAACGTCGCTCCTAATTGTAATTAAGAACTTGTTCATCCATATATCTTATCCTTACTTTCTCAATGTTGTCTTTGATGCAGAGATTAAATTCGATCATGTCTGAACAAAGTCAGATATATATTTGAATGACTCATGTTACCTCGGAACATCAGTGACGTGATGTTGTTCTCTGAAAGGGACAGAACCTATGATTGTGTGTCATAGTCTCCTGGGCGGCCCTTTGAATACACAGGCACACTGGAATGCAATTCGCATCGCATCAGTAGCCACAACCTCTCACTGGAGAGCCACCCGCTGGTCGACATAACACTACAGGATTGTGATGTAACAAAGAAAATATATGTGAAGATTATGTGAAGTTCATATTTTGTGTAAACCTGGTCTGAAAGTTTGTGACAGCTCTACCGTGAAGAAGAGAGGGATTTCTACATTGGTGACAGTATGTCACAGTAATGTTCTGTGGGTCGACTAGAGCAGCAGTGATAGACAACTTTCAATAGGATGTCTATAGGGTGAGCTAATACATGTACCGTAGGTCGACTACTGCAGCAATGGTAGACTGTTTTAGACCACTAGTCCTTATAATGATATCATACAGCAAAATCCTTAATAATGGCGAAATTCTACTAGTCCTTATGACACCTTAACTATTAAGCAGTTTAGCAAGGACTATAGACTAGTGCCAATTTCTAACACTGATGTCTATAGTGTGAGTTACTTCACTTACTCAAGGCTGACCGGAGATCAAGGCTTATGGATGTAAGAGGTGCAGATATCACAACAGGGGAGTGAAAGACAGCTATAATGTGACAAAAGTGGGCTGTTAGGTTTGATTCCCCTCATAATTCAGTATCCATGCAGGAAGTGTTGCACCTTGGGAAAAAGGTTTTCTCAGTTAGTCACAAAGGTTTGGGATAGATGAATGCTTTCTCGCTCCTGACATTAACTTCACATTTTAATGGGAAGCTTGTTTGATATCCCGTAATAATGTAGTGTACAGTGTAAGTTTCATCATCATGTCTCAGATAATACAAAGCTGTTTCATATGCCTTTTCCTGAGCATTATGATTTACTTATAAGATAATCAATCATCTGTGCTTCAAGAGTATATTACCAGGTTACCTGCAGATTTAACAGCATCAGTTGAATCTATCTGTAATGTTACCGACATCAATTATATCTAACAAGGTAACCTAGTTCTGTATTGAAAACACAGCATGTTTTTCTCCATTATACTATCCCAAATAAAACATGAATTCTTTGTTGTTAGCGATAACTGATAATTGATGAAGCGGAATGAGTCCCCTATTTTGAGTGGGTGATGCTCAAACATCATTACTAGTACTCCCCTAAACAAAGGTTTGCAGGATGCAGAAACATTTGTCACGTTTTGTTTCTGGAGCATCACTAAAAAATACATTCAGTATTTCTTCATGAAACTTTGTAAATTGTATACACATGAGCCATACACTGAACAGGTGCCTTTGGCTATTTCAGGAATATTTTCATACAATCTTTGATGATGATTTGGAGATTTTACATTATGCATAATCGCACACATTGTTACAATCTTTAGTATTACTGTATTCGACGTAATAAACGCCTAGGGCGCTCTCAAAATTAGAAATAGGGGGCTCTTATTAGAATATAAGTTTGGTGAGAAAAAAAACAGTTGAAAGATTGTACATTTCGTGGTTTATATTATATATTATCCAGAATTTAATTGTCCATAATTGAGGGTTCATATAACACACGTGTGCGATTTATACACGAATAAATAAGTCTTGTGTACATTGATCAATCGGAAGGGGTGCTAATTGGGATTGTTCACTAGCTAAAATATTTATCAAATATCGCCGTGGGCGCTTATTACGTCGATTACGGTAACATCTTTTTGTATAATGAGGTAGATGACATTATGTTTTGTGATTGTATGCACATATTTAAAAGGGTGTGGATATCAATTACTATCTTTTTTGAAACTTGACTCACATGTATGACAGGCATGGAGAGTATTGCACAGCTGTCGTGTTGACAAACATCCAGGGGGAATGAAAATTGGGTTTTACTGTCATCAAGGTTCATATGGACAACCTTTGTCACCATGAAATGTCCAAAAATCTTAATTGCCAATACTTATATTGGATAATCCCAATTGGTGATCCCCATTGTATTGTACATTGGCTGTCAGCCATCCCGGACGAGATGTGCAACTATGTCACTCATTATTTACTGTTATTTGTGTTTATGACTTATCCGTGTCAGATGACCTTTGATATAAAAGCCTTGGTCTTGCAACGAATATACTGTGTGCGACATACGCATCATGTTGGAAAGCACACATACAATCTTCAAATATCATCATCATCATCATCATCATCATCATGACTAACTAGCTGTTGCTTGGTTGATGAATGTCATCGTAGCCCAATTGATGGATGCTCATGATATCAATCACTGGATCCGATTGTCTGGTCCAGACTTGATTATTTACAGATCACCGTCATACAGCTAGAATATTGCTGAGAGCAGCATTAAACAAACAGACAAACAAACAATTAACCGTTGACTAATTGGTTGATCACCATCAGCTTGGGCTGTTATCACCTGGTGGTGCCTGGGTACCTCCTACTACCTTATTGTTGTCTTCCATCAGTCTTGTGTCAGTAAGGGGTTATCTGATATGTCAGACAGCACACAGGGCCTGTAGACTTCACTTAACTGCACAATGACCGAGGCCCATTATTTTTAAGGAATGGAGAGTTACGAGGATATTCCCTTACTTAAAACACATCTCTAATCTTAAACTTTGACTAAACATTCTAAAGAGCCATGAAACATGCATTGTGAAGATCAGTTGGCGACGGAGAACGTGCAGCAGCAGAGAGCACTATCAACTCTCAAAAAAAATGGAGCATTCAAACAATAGAATGTCATCACAGATGTGTTTTAAATACACATCTGCAGTGATAATACTTGAACTACAGCCAACCTACATCCTGGTCATGCCTGGCTATTGTTGTCAAACTTTAGCTTCCTTTCATCAGACTCAGGCCTACATACACACACACATATATATATATATATATGTAAATCAGTACATTCAAACTGAACAAAAATAATTAACAGTCAGATATATATATATATATATATATATATATATATATATATATATATATATATACAGTCAGATTTCCGATACAAATTATTCGAAAACTCCGTAGAAATGTGCCTGATTTCTGATTATGTGGCCCCAAATATCTCAAAGGTGAACAATAACATTCCCTATCTCTAGCGTAAAACACTGAGTAGATCACGGTTGTCTTTTCTTATTCCGGTGGTGACCTTACCCTTCGTTCGAAGCTGTCACTGACATGCAAGCAGACTTGAGCGTGTTGATTTTCACGTCTTCAGTAAAAGGTGGTACAGTAAACATGAATGTCTTTGGCGAACACTCTGATTTCCCTCTTCCAAAATGGTACGGACATGATATAAATTCAGCTGATAGATCACGGAAACCGCACCATTTTGAATGCACAGACGGGACCCCGGCAGTGCGAGTGACCAACTGTTGGTCCGATATTCAAAGCGCGACGCTAATGTGACTTTTCAGATGTTCTTATAGGTGTCCTGCATACTAACAACATGCGCTTGAATTCTCATAAGTTGAAGAAATTCTTCCAAAAGGATCTTGAACATTGGTGCTGTTATGTTTGAAAACACAACTGCAGGCGCATGTTGTTAATACGTATGCATAGGAATGTAAGCAATGCCCATATTTGGGCATATATCAATATTCATGTGCAACCAGATTTTGCAACCGGTTTCAGTTTGGTCTGTCAATGAACAAAAGTTGTTATGTATTTACACTTACATACATATTTAACGTGGGTAATAAATAAAATACCACACTCATTCTCGTTAGATACCATTTTTATGAAACGAGTGAACTTTCTATGTTATCTGACCTCGCTTTCGCTCGGTCAGATACCATAGAAAGTCCACTCGTTTCGTAAAACTCGCGAGGTCAGATACCATAAAAAGTCCACTCGTTTGTAAAAATGGTATCTAACGAGAATGAGTGTAGTATTCTCTATATATATAAATATCTCTGACTGTTAATTATTTTTGTTCAGTTTGAATGTACTGATTTACATAATAAGATGTAATTAGATGCTATATTATTCCAGTGTCCACTTCTGTGTTCTGTATCATGTAGTGACATCCCATACGATATGTTAAAGAGAAAGTTTGTGGATTAGAAAGTGATACACTTTTCAGTGCTGGTAACTTGAGAGTGTATTATTAGAGAGTAATTATGGTAATTAGGATGTAGATGTGAAACAGGACTTGTTATCTTGGTGGATTGATTCATATGACAGTACGTGGCCTTGGCAGGCTCCAATTCACAATGAGATTCCTCAAGTAAGTAGACATTGTTAGACACTTAGGAAGTCTTGAGTTGCTTTGACAAATATTTACATATTTTATTTGTGGATATGTAATGATCAAAACAGGGATTGGTTCGCTTAAATGAAATTTCATGAAGTAATAAAATTTAACTTTGACCTTCATAAAATTACAGATGTTTTGGGGATGGTGACATCGTCAGTGTGAGCTTATGGGTCATGTCTGTCCGTCTGTCTGTTTTTTTATCATTTTAGGAGGGACGCTCTTCATAACATCCTCGTTCACAATTTCGGAAATGTTGTCACAGCACTTGTGAGAAATAGTATAGTGAATGTCCAGTTTTGTCCACTACATGCTCACTGTTCATGTCCAAGTGTATCCCCTCCTACATTCTCCTTTTTTCCCTTCCACCCTCCCCCTCTCCTTTCCTTTCCTCCCCCTTTTCTGTCCCCCTCTCCTCTTTCCCCTCATCTCTTCTCTTCCTCTGCTCCCCTTCCTTCCCCTACTCCCCCTCCCCATTCTCCCCCATTCCCCTCTTCCCCCATTCCCCTCCTCCTCATCTTCCTCTGCTCCCCTTCCTTCTCTTCCCCCCATTCTTCCCCTTTCTCCTCCTCCCTCCTCTTCCTCTACCCTCCTTCCATCCCCCTTCTCCCCCCTTCTCCCCCAGTCTGGCCCAGTCATCTAAGGTGCCGTGATTCGCTGTGCAGTCGCATCCCTTGGTCATGCCAGAAACCTATGATTGTGGGTTCGAATCCCAGTTCACCCCAATTATGTTTCTAGGTTTGTCAACACCATACCTGTGCTCGTGGGTTTCACCGAAGTGGTAAACGTCTGAGACCTGCATCACTTCGGGCTTTCCTCCCACATTAAGCTGACACACCATGATATGACTGAAATACTGTTGAACAAGGCATTAAACCCAACTCACTCACTCTCCGCTCCCCCCCCCCCCCCCCCCCCCCCCCCCCACTCTTCTCCTTTCCCTTCTCTCCAGTGTTGTATGATGACAAGTTACATGAAACACTGTATATCGACAGATTTCTATCTTTGTATCATTACATGGCCCATGTATATCAATTAATCAGTGTATTATGACATGGCCCATGTATATCAATTAATCAGTGTATTATGACATGGCCCATGTATATCAATTAATCAGTGTATTATGACAAGGCCCATGTATATCAATTAATCAGTGTATTATGACACGGCCCATGTATATCAATTAATCAGTGTATTATGACAAGGCCCATGTATATCAATTAATCAGTGTATTATGACAAGGCCCATGTATATCAATTAATCAGTGTATTATGACAAGGCCCATGTATATCAATTAATCAGTGTATTATGACAAGGCCCATGTATATCGATATTGTTGACAGCTTTAATGTGTATATAACAACTTACATCATTTCTCCTTTTTCTTTAAGGACCACAGGTTAGGAAAGTGGTTCCTAATTTTTCTTTTCATGCAGATTCAGGTTTTTTCATCTCTATGTGTCATGTCTCTCTCCATTCTCTATATGACTACACTCCTTCACTCCTTCACTCCTTCACTCACCCACTCACTCACTCCTTCACTCACTCACTCACTGTTTCAGACGAGCCGGCAACATGGATGTCACCTCTGACAGCGTCGACAGTGGGATGGTGCGGCTACAGTCTGCCAGCTTCCATAACTCAGACAACACTGGTCAGTTTGTGAATCCCTCATTTGTAGTGGAGGTCAGTAATGGTCCCCCTCCTCCGTACAACGGCACCCCCGTCGCAGACCAGACTAATTGCAATGTACAGAGTCTGCCAACCCCAGAAGCCAGCACCAGGATCCGGATGAGGATGTCCTCCGGGGGGTCGTCTAACAGCAATGTCAACAAGAAAACGTCCATCGCAAGTCAGCCCAGCTCAGTTAGTGAAGGCAACTTCGAAGACTCCTTCACAGGTAAGAGCAAGCACAGTTCTTTAATCTGACAAGCCAGGTATTGATGGACAGGAAAGACCAGTGTGTGGATGCCTTGTAGCTATACAACAAAAATAACAACTTTTTGTCCAAAATGCCTTAAAACAGAGTTTAAAGACACACCTAAACAACGTAAGAAATATCCTTTTACATATAACCTTATGCGACAATAAATTATACGGGAAATCGAACACATAAATTGAATGTGCTGTGTAACAGCACAATGGTAAAACCAGCTCCCAAGTTTGAATGATGATGATTTCATGTATCACTAAGCTGAAGTCTGAACTTGGGCACTGGTAAGAGTTGTGTCCCCTAGACCTGCCAGGAATCTGTGACCTGGGGTTCCCACCCTTGTTCTGATTATAATCCTCGGTTTGTAGTTTGTTTGTAGTTTAACACTCCATTCAACAATATTCCACTTGTTGACCGTCATCCTGGCGCACTCGGCAACATTTCGCCTCTATCTTCTCCAAGACAGCAACCCTTGGTTTAAGTGTTTATGTGATAGTACAACCACCTGTTATCCTTAAACACTGAATTCAGCTGAATCACTGGTATTTGCACAGATGTCCATGCAAGGCCTCAAGCACGGGCTCTGTTTCTGGTCTGTCGACCTGGAGTGTTTGACAAATACCATGGTCCACAAACTCTTGTCAACATCAGTGTGTAGGATCAATAATTCATATGTCAACAATGTCAGACAGATCAGTAGAATGTATAAAATGTCATTTATGTTATTTTGTTTGCTTTTCACAGCATGAAAAGGAGAAAGTTGTGACATATGTTTGTGTGAAGTCTGTTGTACTTGTCCAGCAAACTGTCTGTGGTATTTCTGTAGCACTGGTCCTTGTGGCTACCTGAACAGGTGACACTGGTCCTCCTGGCTACCTGAACAGGTGACACTGGTCCTCCTGGCTACCTGAACTAGTGACACTGGTCCTCCTGGCTACCTGAACTAGTGACACTGGTCCTCCTGGCTACCTGAACTAGTGACACTGGTCCCCCTGGCTACCTGAACAGGTGACACTGGTCTTGGTGGCTACCTGAACAGGTGACACTGGTCCTTGTGGCTACCTGAACTAGTGACAGTGGTCCTGGTGGCTACCTGAACAGGTGACACTGGTCCTGGTGGCTACCTGAACTAGTGACACTGGTCCTCCTGGCTACCTGAACTAGTGACAGTGGTCCTGGTGGCTACCTGAACAAGTGACACTGGTCTTGGTGGCTACCTGAACAGGTGACACTGGTCCTCCTGGTTACTTGAACACGTGACACTGGTCTTCGTGGCTACCTGAACAGGTGACACTGGTCTTGGTGGCTACCTGAACAGGTGACACTGGTCCTCCTGGTTACTTGAACAGGTGACACTGGTCCTTGTGGCTACCTGAACAGGTGACACTTGTCCTCCTGGCTACCTGAACAGAGGACACTGGTCCTCTTGGCCTCCTGAACAGGTGACACTGGTCCTTGTGGCTACCTGAACAGGTGACACTGGTCCTTGTGGCTACCTGAACAGGTGACACTTGTCCTCCTGGCTACCTGAACAGATGACACTGGTCCTCGTGGCCTCCTGAACAGGTGACACTGGTCCTTGTGGCTACCTGAACAGGTGACACTGGTCCTCGTGGCTACCTGAACAGGTGACACTGCTCCTTGTGGCTACCTGAACAGGTGACACTGGTCCTCCTGGCTACCTGAACAGATGACACTGGTCCTCCTGGCCACCTGAACACATGACACTGCTCCTTGTGGCTACCTGAACAGGTGACACTGCTCCTTGTGGCTACCTGAACAGGTGACACTTCTCTTCCTGGCTACCTGAACAGGTGACACTGCTCCTTGTGGCTTCCTGAACAGGTGACACTGTTCCTTGTGGCTTCCTGAACAGGTGACACTGGTCCTCGTGGCTACCTGAACAGGTGACACTGGTCCTCCTGGCTACCTGAACAGGTGACACTGGTCCTCCTGGCTACCTGAACAGGTGACACTGGTTCTCCTGGCTACTTGAACAGGTGACACTGGTCCTCGTGGCTACCTGAACAGGTGACACTGGTCCTCCTGGCTTCCTGAACAGATGACACTGGTCCTCGACGCTACCTGAACAGATGACACTGCTCCTCGTGGCTACCTGAACAGGTGACACTGGTCCTTGTGGCTTCCTGAACAGATGACACTGGTCCTCCTGGCTACCTGAACAGATGACACTGCTCCTCGTGGCTACCTGAACAGGTGACACTGCTCCTGGCTACCTGAACAGATGACACTGGTCATGGTGGCTACCTGAACAGGTGACACTGGTCCTCGTGGTTACCTGAACAGGTGACACTGGTCCTCCTGGCTACTTGTACAGATGACACTGGTCCTCCTGGCTACCTGAACAGATGACACTTCTCCTGGCTACCTGAACAGATGACACTGCTCCTCGTGGCTTCCTGAACAGGTGACACTGCTCCTTGTGGCTTCCTGAACAGATGACACTGGTCCTCCTGGCTACCTGAACAGGTGACACTGGTCCTCGTGGCTACCTGAACAGGTGACACTGAAAGTATTTAGAAAGTTTAGTAAGTTGACGTGGTCTGACTGTCCATTGGATTAATCAGGGTTATATTGAGAAAGTTGAGGTGGTCTGACTTTCAAGTGGATTAATCAGGGTCATATTGAGAAAGTTGAGGTGGTCTGACTTTCCAGTGGATTAATCCGGGTCATGTTGAGAAAGTTGAAGTGGTCTGACTGTCCAGTGGATTAATCAGGGTCATATTGAGAAAGTTGAGGTGGTCTGACTTTCAAGTGGATTAATCAGGGTCATATTGAGAAAGTTGAGGTGGTCTGACTGTCCAGTAGATTAATCAGGGTAATATTGAGAAAGTTGAGGTGGTCTGACTTAGCTGTGGATTAATCAGGGTCATATTGAGAAAGTTGAGGTGGTCTGACTTTCAAATGGATTAATCTGGGTCATATTGAGAAAGTTGAGGTGGTCTGACTTCGCTGTGGATTTATCAGGATCATATTGAGAAAGTTGAAGTGGTCTGACTTAGCTGTGGATTAATCAGGGTCATATTGAGAAAGTTGAGGTGGTCTGACGGTCCAGTGGATTAATCAGGGTCATATTGAGAAAGTTGAGGTGGTCTGACTGTCCAGTGGATTAATCAGGGTAATATTGAGAAAGTTGAGGTGGTCTGACTTAGCTGTGGATTTATCAGGATCATATTGAGAAAGTTGAAGTGGTCTGACTTAGCTGTGGATTTATCAGGATCATATTGAGAAAGTTGAAGTGGTCTGACTGTCCAGTGGATTAATCAGGGTCATATTGAGAAAGTTGAGGTGGTCTGACTTAGCTGTGGATTAATCAGGATCATATTGAGAAAGTTGAGGTGGTCTGACTTTCAAGTGGATTAATCTGGGTCATATTGAGAAAGTCGATGTGGTCTGACTTTCAAGTGGATTAATCAGGGTAATATTGAGAAAGTTGAGGTGGTCTGACTTTCAAGTGGATTAATCAGGGTCATATTGAGAAAGTTGAGGTGGTCTGACTTTCCAGTGGATTAATCCGGGTCATGTTGAGAAAGTTGAAGTGGTCTGACTGTCCAGTGGATTAATCAGGGTCATATTGAGAAAGTTGAGGTGGTCTGACTTTCAAGTGGATTAATCAGGGTCATATTGAGAAAGTTGAGGTGGTCTGACTGTCCAGTGGATTAATCAGGGTAATATTGAGAAAGTTGAGGTGGTCTGACTTTCAAGTGGATTAATCAGGGTCATATTGAGAAAGTTGAGGTGGTCTGACTTTCAAATGGATTAATCTGGGTCATATTGAGAAAGTTGAGGTGGTCTGACTTCGCTGTGGATTTATCAGGATCATATTGAGAAAGTTGAAGTGGTCTGACTTAGCTGTGGATTAATCAAGGTCATATTGAGAAAGTTGAGGTGGTCTGACGGTCCAGTGGATTAATCAGGGTCATATTGAGAAAGTTGAGGTGGTCTGACTGTCCAGTGGATTAATCAGGGTAATATTGAGAAAGTTGAGGTGGTCTGACTTAGCTGTGGATTTATCAGGATCATATTGAGAAAGTTGAAGTGGTCTGACTTAGCTGTGGATTTATCAGGATCATATTGAGAAAGTTGAGGTGGTCTGACTTTCAAGTGGATTAATCTGGGTCATATTGAGAAAGTCGATGTGGTCTGACTTTCAAGTGGATTAATCAGGATCATATTGAGAAATTTGAGGTGGTATGACTGAGCTGTGGATTAATCAGGGTCACATTCGGACTTTACTAAATATAAATCTTGCTTCATGTTTAATTCATTTTAATGGTATGTGTGCTGTTATAAGCTGAGCTTACTTGACCCAACAGAATTTCGCTAGACTTCAAATAGGCTTTTGACTTAAGTAACACAGACTGTATAATTATGAGAAGACTCCAGTGTTGTTTCTATATGTGGAACGTTCCGCTACATGTAGAATGCAGTGAGGGAAATGTGGAAATATGTGAAATAGTGAAACAGTTTATCATGCTGTCCACAAAAGTGAGGTACTTCACCACAATGTTTACTTCACAATGTGACACTTGTGATCCACCCACTTGTGTTCCTACCACTTGTGATCCACCCACTTGTGATCCACCCACTCGTGATCCACCCACTTGAGAAGAACCCACCTACAATCCCCCCACACCTTCCAAGCTGCTAATTGCAATCACATGTTGGTAGCTGTTGACAGGTAGAACCAATTAGACTGTGGCATGTTTTGCAGTTTACAAGACAGTCTGTTACTGTCTGTGAGATCTGCCCAACCCATCCACATCTACTGGTGTCAGGAGGATGAGATGTTTCCACATCTACTGGTGTCAGGAGGATGTGATGTTTCCACATCTACTGGTTTCAGGAGGATGTGATGTTTCCACATCTACTGGTGTCAGGAGGATGTGATGTTTCCACATCTACTGGTGCCAGGAGGATGTGATGTTTCCACATCTACTGATGCCAGGAGGATGTGATGTTTCCACATCTACTGGTGTCAGGAGTGTGATGTTTCCACATCTACTGGTGTCAGGAGGATGTGATGTTTCCACATCTACTGGTGTCAGGAGTGTGATGTTTCCACATCTACTGGTGTCAGGAAGGTGTGATGTTTCCACATCTACTGGTGTCAGGAGGGTGTGATGTTTCCACATCTACCTATGTCAGGAGTGTGATGTTTCCACATCTACTGGTGTCAGGAGGATGTGATGTTTCCACATCTACTGGTGTCAGGAGTGTGATGTTTCCACATCTACTGGTGTCAGGAAGGTGTGATGTTTCCACATCTACTGGTGTCAGGAGGGTGTGATGTTTCCACATCTACTGGTGTCAGTAGGATGTTATGTTTCCACATCTACTGGTGTCAGGAGTGGGATGTTTCCACATCTACTGGTGTCAGGAGTGTGATGTTTCCACATCTACTGATGTCATGAGGGTGGGATGTTTCCACATCTACTGGTGTCAGGAGAGTGTGATGTTTCCACATCTACTGGTGCCAGGAGGCCGGGATGTTTCCACATCTACTGGTGTCAGGAGGGTGGGATGTTTCCACATCAAATGGTGTCAGGAGGGTGGGATGTTTCCACATCTACTGGTGTCAGGAGGCCGGGATGTTTCCACATCTACTGGTGTCAGGAGGGTGGGATGTTTCCACATCTACTGGTGTCAGGAGGCCGGGATGTTTCCACATCTACTGGTGTCAGGAGCGGGATGTTTCCACATCTACTGGTGTCAGGAAGGTGTGATGTTTCCACATCTACTGGTGTCAGGAGGGTGTGATGTTTCCACATCTACTGGTGTCAGGAGTGGGATGTTTCCACATCTACTGGTGTCAGGAGGGTGGGATGTTTCCACATCAAATGGTGTCAGGAGGGTGGGATGTTTCCACATCTACTGGTGTCAGGAGGGTGGGATGTTTCCACATCTACTGGTGTCAGGAGGGTGGGATGTTTCCACATCTACTGGTGTCAGGAGGCCGGGATGTTTCCACATCTACTGGTGTCAGGAGCGGGATGTTTCCACATCTACTGGTGTCAGGAAGGTGTGATGTTTCCACATCTACTGGTGTCAGGAGGGTGTGATGTTTCCACATCTACTGGTGTCAGGAGTGGGATGTTTCCACATCTACTGGTGTCAGGAGGGTGGGATGTTTCCACATCTACTGGTGTCAGGAGGGTGTGATGTTTCCACATCTACTGGTGTCAGGAGTGGGATGTTTCCATACCTCCTGTGCCTGGGGAGTTCTTTAATTCATTACCTTGACAGCAAATATGTCATTCAGTCAATCTACATATTTTGGATAACAGACAGACATAATCTCATAATCTATTAATATTCTTCAGATGGACATATTGTCTTTAAATAAATCAGCATTACGTGAGTGACATCAGCTGAATCTTCCTTTGCAGATGATGTGTGAGGTTTGTGCAAACATGTTTCGATAGATCAAGCCAATCAGGTGATCTCGGTGTTCAGTGCCAGGTAATTGTATTATGTGTGAGAACCTGTTAGCATCTCTGTGCAGAATCTCTGTGCAGCATCTCTGTGCAGCATCTCTGATGTCCCACGCCACAGGTGTGAGGCAAGAATCCTGGGCTGCATCAAGATAAAAGAGACATGGATTACATCAACACTAAAACATCGTGTCAGGTCATTGATGGGCTGCTGGCTGCTTTAGTTTCTAAATAATATGTGTGACGTTATTAGTTTTTTCAGAGGGAGTTGGTTGTGTGCAATTGAACTTGTGTGGAGAATTTTCTCCTATGTGCTGGGGTTCGTCTGAAAATGACTTTGTGCACAATAGGCAGTGGGAAGGCAGGTGTGTTTCTGAGGTTGTTCAGCAATGATATGCCTCAATTGAACTACATGTTAATTTTCTTTTATTACAGGATGAATGTTAGAAATATTAATTTGTTATTCACAGGTGCTGTTGTCATTTTGTTTATGTTGCTAGGCAACTGTGGATAGTGGTTTTCTTTGTCATACTGCAACCTGTTAGTCATCTCCTGTATAGAAATGTTTTCAAATTATGAACCATGAATATTTCATTTCAATTTGTTCTGCTAATTAACAACTAAATTGTTGAATTGGTTGTGCTGGTATTTTATTACTTTATTTTTAGTCTTTGGAACAAAGAATAGTATGATTAGTATATGAACCTGGCCATGGACAAGACCTGCCCACTACTGGGTCTACCTGGTAAATATCAATACTGTGGACATTTGTTGTCATGCCAGATACAATCAACAATGACCACATCAGGACTTGTCTTTGTCTCCTACATTCCATGTTTGTTTAATTTGAAGTATTTATCGTTGAATCACTGGTTTATCAAGACATCCTCCTGTGTTTCAGACGAGTCTGGCCTCAGCCTCATCTATTCACGACATGAGGTGAGTACTTGTTCTGCCATGTCTGTAGACCAAACTTTGATTTCTTGGTTTGTGGATTCAGTGAACAGGAGCAAAAAGCCACAGTCACTTAAGCCACAAAAAGTTAGGTAAATGTGGTTATTGATCAATATTTCCTTGATAATTTTGTAATGTGTTACGTGATAGATTGTCAGAGGGTGTCAGGGACATCAAACCTTTAGTATCAAGGAGGTATTTGTATCTATCAGGGAGATTTTGATACAGCAACAATTGAATTTAAATGTTAACCAGTCATCACACTCTGTAAATTTACAATGTCTTAGTACCATAAAAAATGTAAAAGTATTAAAAGATACAGCTGCTTGAATTAAAACAAAAGTACTTGAAGTGTTTTGAATGATGTAATGCTTTGTATAGTGACTGGCCATTGTAAACACCTTGTCAGAGCAGAGTCTTCTCTGATGGAAGTAGATCTGTTCATTGTTCTGTAACAATAGTAAACCAGCACTTACTGAATTGGCATTTATTTTTACCCAATTAATAATACTTGTCTAAACACATGAACCTCTTTACGACCCACTGTAGTAAATTGTTTTGCCAAAAAAGATTTTTTCAAATTAATTACCGGTGATCTAACGGTGCAACATCAGTTTGCACTGTGAATTTTGTATGTTTTTTGTGGGCAGATTGTTTTGCATACACTCATGAAACATGAACGTGTCTCTGCTTTCTGTCCAAAATGGTAGCTTTACACTCCATTCTCATGATTCAATACTTCTTGTCAATACTTGTTTGGGAATGAATTTTTCATTAAGATAGAAAATACTTACATCAGGTATTGCCAACCCCTCCTCTCCTGAAACTGGGGCTAAGATCCAAACTTGGTGAACATTTTTTGACTCAGACTGTGTTTGTATGCATTTGTAAGAACACTGAAAACCACAAAAAATCCTGGGTAGTGTTTATCGCCAGTTTCTGAGTTAAGTATGTAATGTCCTTCTTCATGGAGACTACAGTCTACAAAGTCAGATATCCCTTTCTGGCATTGTATATGAGTTATGACAAACAAATGGTCTGTACAAGAAATGTGACGTCCTATTGATAGCCCTGTACCACAATGTACCACTCTGTACTGTAAAAGTGACGTCCTATTGATAGCCCTGTACCACAATGTACCACTCTGTACTCTAAAAGTGATGTCCTATTGATAGCCCTGTACCACAATGTACCACTCTGTACTCTAAAAGTGACATCCTATTGATAGCCCTGTACCACAATGTACCACTCTGTACTCTAAAAGTGACGTCCTATTGATAGCCCTGTACCACAATGTACCACTCTGTACTCTAAAAGTGACGTCCTATTGATAGCCCTGTACCACAATGTACCACTCTGTACTCTAAAAGTGGCGTCCTATTGATAGCCCTGTACCACAATGTACCACTCTGTTTTCTAAAAGTGACGTCCTATTGATAGCCCTGTACCATAATTTACCACTCTGTACTCTAAAAGTGACGTCCTATTGATAGCCCTGTACCACAATGTACCACTCTGTACTCTAAAAGTGACGTCCTATTGATAGCCCTGTACCATAATTTACCACTCTGTACTCTAAAAGTGACGTCCTATTGATAGCACTGTACCACAATGTACCACTCTGTACTCTAAAAGTGGCGTCCTATTGATAGCCCTGTACCACAATGTACCACTCTGTACTCTAAAAGTGACGTCCTATTGATAGCCCTGTACCACAATGTACCACTCTGTACTCTAAAAGTGGCGTCCTATTGATAGCCCTGTACCACAATGTACTACTCTGTACTCTAAAAGTGGCGTCCTTTTGATAGCCCTGTACCACAATGTACCACTCTGTACTCTAAAAGTGACGTCCTGTTGTGTACAGAGGGTGCCATTCAAGGACTTTACCAACGAGGTGCGGGCCACGATGGACGTGCAGAAGTTCCTCAACAACACAGTGCTGCTGCTTGACGTCCATCACTCCAACCTGGACGTGATTGTGGATGACATCCTCAAGAAGATGCTTGGCACAGACTCCCCCATCAGCTCCGACCAGGCCAAGTCCGCTCTCTTCACCACCGACTGTGGTAGGTGTTATTTCATGTTCAATGCCACAGTATAGCTGTGAAGTGAACGTAGGAATGTCTACCTGTAGTATAGCTGTGAAGTGAACATAGGAATGTCTACCTGTAGTATAGCTGTGTTGTGAACTTAGGAATGTCTTCCTATTATATAGCTGTGTAGTGAACATAGGAATGTGTACCTATAGTATATCCATTTAGTGAACGTAGGAGTGTCTACCTGTAGTATAGGTGTGTAGTGAACTTAGGAATGTCTTCCTATTATATAGCTGTGTAGTGAACATAGGAATGTGTACTTATAGTATATCCATTTAGTGAACGTAGGAATGTCTACCTGTAGTATAGCTGTGTAGTGAACATAGGAATGTGTACCTATGGTATATCCATGTAGTGAACTTAGGAATGTCTTCCTATTATATAGCTGTGTAGTGAACATAGGAATGTGTACCTATAGTATATCCATTTAGTGAACGTAGGAGTGTCTACCTGTAGTATAGGTGTGTAGTGAACTTAGGAATGTCTTCCTATTATATAGCTGTGTAGTGAACATAGGAATGTGTACTTATAGTATATCCATTTAGTGAACGTAGGAATGTCTACCTGTAGTATAGCTGTGTAGTGAACATAGGAATGTGTACCTATGGTATATCCATGTAGTGAACATAGGAATGCCTGCCTATAATATAACTGTGTAGTGAACATAGGAATGTGTACCTATGGTATATCCATGGAGTGTAGTATCGCCTTGTGGTGAACACAGTATGTCTACCTATACTATTGCCATGCAGTGAATATTTATTGACATTTACCAGAGTTGCACAATTTCTGTGTAGTATTCATGCAGGCTGACATTGTTTAAGACAGTGTACTGATACAAGTGACAGAAGTGTATTTGCTGATGCGTTTGTGTCGTGCAGTGCATCAGCTGAGCAGGACCATCCAGAGCTCGGTGAAGATTGATGACGCAGGAGGTTTTGACTATGATCAGAACTGGGTCTGTGCCATGTGAGTGTTTCCATCGGAGAATCAGGGAAATCAACAGAGCAATCTTAGTATTACAACTGTCGTAAGTCACTGTAAAAGTAGGGGAGGTACAATCATTTTAACGCTAAGATAACTTTGTGGAAGGGGCCCCTGGTCTCTCTCAGTTTGACCAGATAGAATTGATTTTGGATCTCATCAGATAAAGTACAAAATTGGATCCATTTTAAGCACTCATATCTCCAGCATCCTCAACCAGATGGATGATGCAGATCTGTTGTCAAGATATGTTGTCTCATTGACTGTGTGTCTCACTGTGTGTGCTTCTCACTGTCTGTGCCTCTCACTGTGTGTGTCTCTCACTGCCTGTGTCAACCCGTGAAGATTCCGGGGTAGAATAGGTCTTCAGCAACCCATGCTTGCCGTAAAAGACGACTATGCTTGTCGTAAAAGGCGACTAACGGGATCGGGTGGTCAGGCTCGCTGACTTGGTTGATGCATGTCAGCGATTCCAATTGCGTGGATCGATGCTCATGATGTCAATCACTGGATTGTCTGGTCAAGCCTCGATTATTTTACAGACCGACGTCATATAGCTGGAATATTGCTGAGTGCGGCGTTAAACAACAAAACAAACAAAAAAAACACTGCCTGTGCCTCTCACTGCCTGTCTCTCAGTTTGTCTTTCACTCTCTGTGCCTCTCATAGCCTGTGTCTGTCACTGTCTGCCTCTCACTGCCTGTCTGTCACTGTCTGCCTCTCACTCTCTGTGCCTCTCACTACCTGTGTCTGTCATTGTCTGCCTCTCACTGTCTGTGTCTGTCACTGTCTGTCTCTCACTGTCTGTGCCTGTCACTGCCTGTGTCTGTCACTGTCTGTGTCTGTCACTGTCTGCCTCTCACTGCCTGTGTCTGTCACTGTCTGTCTCTCACTGTCTGTGCCTGTCACTGCCTGTGTCTGTCACTGTCTGTGCTTCTCACTGCATGTGTATGTCACTGTCTGTGTCTGTCACTGTCTGCCTCTCACTGCCTGTGTCTGTCACTGTCTGCCTCTCACTGCCTGTGTATGTCACTGTCTGCCTCTCACTGTCTGTGTCTGTCACTGTCTGTGTCTGTCACTGTCTGCCTCTCACTGTCTGTGTCTGTCACTGTCTGTGCTTCTCACTGTCTGTGTCTGTCACTGTCTGTCTCTCACTGTCTATGCCTCTCACTGCCTGTGTCTGTCACTGTCTATGCTTCTCACTGCATGTGTCTGTCACTGTCTGCCTCTCACTGCCTGTGTATGTCACTGTCTGTGCTTCTCACTGCCTGTGTCTGTCACTGTCTGTGCTTCTCACTGTCTGTGTCTGTACCTGTCTGTCTCTCACTGTCTATGCCTCTCACTGCCTGTGTCTGTCACTGTCTGTGCTTCTCACTGTCTGTGTCTGTCACTGTCTGTGCTTCTCACTGCCTGTGTCTGTCACTGTCTGTGCTTCTCACTGTCTGTGTCTGTCACTGTCTGCCTCTCACTGTCTGTGCTTCTCACTGCCTGTGTCTGTCACTGTCTGTGCTTCTCAATGCCTGTGTCTGTCACTGTCTGTGCTTCTTACTGTCTGTGTCTGTCACTGTCTGCCTCTCACTGTATGTGCTTCTCACTGCCTGTGTCTGTCACTGTCTGTGTCTGTCACTGTCTGCCTCTCACTGCCTGTGTCTGTCACTGTCTGTCTCTCACTGTCTGTGCTTCTCATTGTCTGTGTCTGTCACTGTCTGTCTCTCACTGTCTATGCCTCTCACTGCCTGTGTCTGTCACTGTCTGTGCTTCTCACTGTCTGTGTCTGTCACTGTCTGCCTCTCACTGTATGTGCTTCTCACTGCCTGTGTCTCTCACTGTCTGTGTCTGTCACTGTCTGTGTCTGTCTGTGTCTCTCACTGTCTGTGCCTGTCACTGCCAGTGTCTGTCACTGTCTGTGCTTCTCACTGCATGTGTATGTCACCGTCTGCCTCTCACTGTCTGTGTCTGTCACTGTCTGTGTCTGTCACTGTCTGTGCTTCTCACTGTCTGTGTCTGTCACTGTCTGTGCTTCTCACTGCATGTGTATGTCACTGTCTGTGCTTCTCACTGCATGTGTATGTCACTGTCTGTGTCTGTCACTGTCTGTGCTTCTCACTGCCTGTGTCTGTCACTGTCTGTGCTTCTCACTGCATGTGTATGTCACTGTCTGCCTCTCACTGTCTGTGTCTGTCACTGTCTGTGTCTGTCACTGTCTGCCTCTCACCGTCTGCCTCTCACTGTCTGTGTCTGTCACTGTCTGCCTCTCACTGTCTGTGTCTGTGTCTGTCACTGTCTGCCTCTCACTGTCTGTGTCTGTCACTGTCTGCCTCTCACTGTCTGAGTCTGTGTCTGTCACTGTCTGCCTCTCACTGTCTGTGTCTGTCACTGTCTGCCTCTCACTGCCTGTGTCTCTCACTGTCTGTGCTTTTCACTGTGTCTCACTGTCTGCCTCTCACTGTCTGTGCCTCTCACTGTCTGCCTCTCATTGTCTGCCTCTCACTGCCTGTTCCTCTCACTGTCTGTGCTTCTCACTGTGTCTCACTGTCTGTCTCTCACTGCCTTTGCCTCTTACTGTCTGCCTCTCACTGTCTGTCTCTCACTGCCTGTTCCTCTCACTGTCTGTGCTTTTCACTGTGTCTCACTGTCTGCCTCTCACTGTCTGTGCTTCTCACTGTGTCTCACTGTCTGCCTCTCACTGTGTCTCACTGTCTGCCTCTCACTGTCTGCCTTTCACTGCCTGTTCCTCTCACTGTCTGTGCTTCTCACTGTGTCTCACTGTCTGTCTCTCACTGCCTGTTCCTCTCACTGTCTGTGCTTTTCACTGTGTCTCACTGTCTGTGCTGCTCACTGTGTCTCACTGTCTGCCTCTCACTGTGTCTCACTGTCTGCCTCTCACTGTCTACCTCTCACTGCCTGTGCCTCTCACTGTCTGTGCTTCGAACTGTGTCTCACTGTCTGTCTCTCACTGCCTGTGCCTCTCACTGTCTGTGCCTCTCACTGTCTGTGCTTCTCACTGTCTGTGCTTCTCACTGTCTGTGCTTCTCACTGTCTGTGCCTCTCACTGTCTGTGCCTCTCACTGCCTGTGCCTCTCACTGTCTGTGCCTCTCACTGTCTGTGCCTCTCACTGCCTGTGTCTCTCACTGTCTGTGCTTCTCACTGTGTCTCACTGTCTGCCTCTCACTGTGTCTCACTGTCTGCCTCTCACTGTCTGCCTCCCACTGTCTGCCTCTCACTGTCTGTGCTTCTCACTGTGTCTCACTGTCTGCCTCTCACTGTCTGCCTCTCACTGTCTGCCTCTCACTGCCTGTTCCTCTCACTGTCTGCCTCTCACTGCCTGTGCCTCTCACTGTCTGCCTCTCACTGCCTGTGCCTCTCACTGTCTGTGCCTCTCACTGTCTGCCTCTCACTGTCTGTTCCTCTCACTGTCTGTCACTGTTTGTCTCTCACTGTCTGTGTTTCATTGCCTATGTCACTGTTTTCCAATCTTCTAGCCCAGACATACTGTTGGACCACTTGTAATCTCATCCATCTCCACTCCAGGTGCAGCATCCCCTCCATCACCAAGGGCTATGTGGGCATTGCCCGCCTCACCACACCCGCCAACTTCGGCATGACGTGCCAGGAAGTGTACTTCGTCATCGTCATCCTCACCCCGACCAAGGAGGTAGGTAGAACCACAGCCCCACTGTCACCAACAAAACTCTTTTGTAGCTGTGGTGTGGTCCTACACCAGGGAAGGGAACACTGTAGGAATCGGCTTTTATCGAGGGGGGGGGGGGGGTGTGTAGTAATTTGTGATTTATGTTTCATTACCTGTTACCATCAAGCTAACAATAAATGACTTACAAAACATCATGTTCCACATGACTTGTTTGCCAGTGGCCAGGTTGTAATTTACGAGGGTGAAGCAAAGCTACTGGTTGCATGACTAACACTAAGTGATAACAATACTGGCACAATGTATTTGAAAAAACTTTCTTTGGACTTACACCTGTTTTAATAGTAAAATGATAGAAACAGTGGATAATGGTTATTGTGTAAGCAGACCTTTTCGAAAAAAAACAAGTGCATGCTTGTGTGGGTGTGTGTTGATGAAGGCGAACCACTGGACAAGCCGAACACGCTCTAGCTCCTGACTGGATGTGTCAATGGATTAATGAGGTTTCCTTCTTGTGTCAGTGTTTTTAAGCAATGTGGTTGGTTACAGAAAGGCACGAAGAGTGAGCTGGAGACTGGGAGGACATTTGCAACAATGTTCTCGGACATAGATTTCCGCCTGGAATTGATGGGGGCGCCGGACGAGGAGCATTTCAAGGGAATCTTGCAGAAGGAGACCCATAAGTTGTCGGAGAAGCAGAAACTGTCAGAGACCAAGATGGCCGTCTTTGACAGCGAAGAGGAGAAGGTACTGCTTCAGAACAACATGTTATAGGTTAAATAGTCTATAAATTTGTCTGTTTTAGATAATATTTTATGTCAACTTGAAACATGTGACAAACAAGAAATATTTTCATCTTTTAAAGAAGATCAACAAAAGAATTAGATTGTATCAATTGTTCCCCTTTAGAAATTGATTGTACATTTATGAATTGTTTTGCCATAGAATGAAAGCTGTTACCACACACTTAGTGTCAAGAGTAGGATGCTTATGTCACACACAATCAAATGCATAAGAACTTGAACAGATGCCCAACCAAGACAGATTTGTTGAACTTTGAGTCTTGTCAGAAACCATTCAACATTCTTTCATATACTAGTGTAACTTTGTATAGGTACATGACCAAATATTATGATACTTGTATCCATTTAGTTTGACATTGACTACTCTGAAGTCAAATCTGTTAATCACAGTGACTCTTTCTCTCAATGACTCTCTATAGCTTTATGAGATGTACAATCTTTCATGTTATGGAGCTTTAGATGCAGAGCTCCAGATAGCTGCCAATTTGCATAATGTACGTAAACTAAGTCATCGTAACTGTGTGTAGTTCCGCAATGTAGTGTTCAGCTTGCGTTCACGTATGTCTGTACAGGTAACTGAATGTAGACATCATGTATACAGGCTGCTACAGTGAATGATGCACAGATGTGTTGTAACGTAGCCATGTGTCACTGTCATGAGATTGGGAGTCAGGGGACTCAGTGGAGCAGCACAAGGACACTTCCTATTACAAGTTACCTGAAACAGTGGAAAAGGAGAATTATTTTCACAAATGTCTACTGATCAGTTTACAAAGCCTAATAGACTGGACCAAGACAGTAAAAATACATTGAATACCAAAGAAAACTAACAATACCCAACGTGAATGATGACATGTGAATAAATACTCCATGGCTTAAAAAATTATCTGGAGCCGTGAGGATGTGAGAAGATTTTCAACCTGACTATGTGATGCTTGGTTGTGTTTCAGCCCAAGATGCGATGTGGCTTCCTCCGCGGCATCAAGGATGACTTGAAGAGACGTTTACCGCATTACTTCTCCGACTACAAGGACGGTACGTTCAAACTTGGCAGCTCATTTGACCATCAATATGATAAAGCAGCTCCTTGAGAAGGGACTTGTGGTGTAGACAATCGGTGACCCAGGCATTGATTAACCAATGAGAAAACAGACTCCCAGATTACCTTGCCAACACCGGGACGTTTCACAATGCGATCGCAGAACTGTGATTGTCTAAACAGATTTTCCCTCACATGGAACAGGGCCGTGATCGAAATGTGTGACAGAAGAGTTCGGGGGGACAATGTCACTATTAGTCCACTATTCCATTTAGCCCACTATTCCATTTTAACCCACTATTTCATTTAGCCCACTATTCCATTTAGTCCACTATTCCATTGAGTCCACTGTTTCATTTATCCCATTTAGTCCACTGTTTCATTGAGTCCACTATTCCATTGAGTCCACTATTCCATTTAGTCCACTGTTTCATTGAGTCCACTATTCCATAGAGTCCACTATTCCATTGAGTCCACTGTTTCATTTATCCCATTTAGTCCACTGTTTCATTTAGCCCACTATTCCATTTTAACCCACTATTCCATTGAGTCCACTGTTTCATTTATCCCATTTAGTCCACTGTTTCATTGAGTCCACTATTCCATTGAGTCCACTATCCCATTTAGTCCACTATTCCATTTAGTCCACTGTTTCATTGAGTCCACTATTCCATAGAGTCCACTATTCCATTTAGTCCACTGTTTCATTGAGTCCACTATTCCATAGAGTCCACTAGTTCATTGAGTCCACTATTCCATTGAGTCCACTGTTTCATTGAGTCCACTATTCCATAGAGTCCACTAGTTCATTGAGTCCACTATTCCATAGAGTCCACTATTCCATTTAGTCCACTGTTTCATTGAGTCCACTATTCCATTGAGTCCACTATTCCATTTAGTCCACTGTTTCATTGAGTCCACTAGTTCATTGAGTCCACTATTCCATAGAGTCCACTAGTTCATTGAGTCCACTATTCCATTCAGTCCACTGTTTCATTGAGTCCACTATTCCAGGTCTTATGGCTGTACTCGGTGACACATTCTGGACACAAAGACAGGTATATGTTTATCCACAGTGTGACCTTGTTGGTGTTGTGTAGGTGTTGCGGACAAGAAAAGCATCCTGAAGACGTTGTCGACCACACTGTTCCTCTACTTCGCCTGCATCCTGCCGTGTATCGCCTTCGGTGTTCTCAACTCAGACAACACTCATCAGATTCTAAGTAAGAAACACTCCAACTTATATTTTAGCTGTTACTGGTCTATATTGTCTGCTGCCCAAGTGTTTAAAGTAGGAGTCGATTAATGAACTGACTTTTGTCCATCATGCCCTGCTGGTGTAGTTTATAAAGGGGTGCTTTATGTGGTTGCTTGAACTTGGCTCAGCCTCGGTCACATGTTCTTTTAAATATAAGGTCAAGGTCGCTAGAACTCAAAACTGAGACATTAAAATTTCTAGAAAGTATAGATTAATTCATGAAAAATGTATATATTTTCCAATCATTTAAGATAGACTGATGAAACTTACCCTGTACCTGTCACATGCCATAGTTATGTCAAATGTCAAGGTCACTTTAAAGGTCATTCACTCCTAAAATGACTTGAAAATAGTTACTGGCAGGAAGTATTGGTAGGATAAATTGAGACACATTTGTAACTAAGTAGTGCTCTGGCATGTTATGGGATTATTATGGTTCTGTTAGGATGAACAAAACCTTCCAAATGGTGTGCTGGTTTTTTGGGGGGAAGTAGTCAGCAAAGAGTCACAGGAGACTAATCACAATTTTATTTACAAGAACAATTAACAATGAATAATTTACAATATCTTAAAATATAGCTGTTGATGCCTCAGAGATTGGGAACAACCCTCTGGGCTGTGGGAGAGAGATCTGCTTGGTATGAGCGTCAAACCCCTTCTGCTTAACATTTTGCTTCAGTTACATATTTAACAAGAATTAGAACAATAAAAAGGAATATGACTGGTTGATACACACTGGTCTGTGCCTTATGGTTAATGAATGGCTAGACAGAGGGGCATACTTAATCCTGTTAATCCAGTTGGACTGGCACTAATCTTGTTGACATATTTACTGGGTGCTTGGAAAGAGATTATGGTATCACTATAGACAAGCTTGTATTGGGGCTAATCTTTAAAAAGTCTAAATTGAAGTATTTGATGAATGTTATTCTAATATAGGTAAAGACAGATTTACTTAAATAAAATAGTTCAAGGCAATCTATAAGACTATGTAGACATATCTTTTGTCTTATTGATTAGTATGTCTGGGAGATGGGATGTATCAGGTTGGTCATGGAGAATGTGTGGATGGTTAACCAGGGGTCCGGAAACCGTCATATGCGCCGGACATGTCCGATTGGGAATCTCAAATGTCCGGTTTAAAATATTGCTTACCGGACATTTAAATTTTTCTGTCCAGACATTTTAAAAAGTATTGTCCGGACATTCTTAAATTTTGACCGGACGTGATCAGCAGTTAGGACTGAGCAGTTTCTGTCTGCAGTTGTAACACAATGAAGATTATCTACACTGACAAGCTTTGTTCCAATCGGTCAATCACTGTAATAGGCAATAAACTGAGTTGACACTGATTAATAAAGGATTAATTACTGAGAAACATCTTGTTAATTTGAGTGAAAGGTGTTTACAACTGTACATAAATACCTTGCATCATCGATGTACCTCATTATCCTCACAATGCTACGATACGTAACCTCAGACAAGAAGCGAAAGCGTGACGACAGCCAGTCGACCGATGCAGATCAGTCGAGCGGATCTGCCAAACCCTCAAAGTCTGGACGATCATTTTGTAAATTGTGGCTAACGACTTTCACTTGGTTGACATACAATGAGGATTTGCAGATTTTATTGTTTTCAGTAGCTAGTCGTATATTGAATCTTGATTGACCGCCATTTTGCTTTCTGTGACGATCGATATCAAAAATTTTTATGGTCAATAATTAAGTAAAGATGAAAAAAGTATTAAATAACTATTGCTATCAACGATATTTTAGTATTTGTGATTATATTATCTGTCATGTTTTTAAATAATCTTTAGTTTAAAAAAAACCTTTTCCCGTGAGGTCACGTGATAACCAAATATGGGATAATAGTCTCGATCCAAATGTTACAATGCGTACACTTGAGCAGACTCATGAATATAACTCATGAATATTAATTAGACCATTCACTACGTTAACAGATCGTTATTATAACAGAAACAAACGTATGTTTTCCATGTACATCTAAAATGATATTATTTGTTATTAATTGCCCGGTGAATTAAACAACTTAAATTGAAACAATTCATAATTCATCATATTATGAATACGTAACAACTTGTAATGTGTGTGAAAAGTCGTACTAAAATACGCTTTTTGAAGGGGGCGTGGCCTAAATGCAAATGTCCGATTGGGATTTTAAATTTTCCGGACCCCTGTGGTTAACCATGTTCAGCAAGCTTGACTTGAATGAGCTTCACTCCTGCTCCATACAGAGACAGGCAGGAGAACCTGGTTCTAAGCATGCCTCTGGTCACCCAGCAGTGGATGGGTACCCAGTAGGAACAGTTTTTGTCCACTAGTCTAATAATGATAACACATAGCAAAACCCTTGAAAAGGTCAAATTTCTACTTGTCCTTATGATACTTTTGGGCAGTTTGTCAAGGGCTACAGGACTAGTGCCAATTTCTAGCCCAGCACATACAGTAACTTGGGTTGTATATTCCCCAGGGAGATGAGAATGAAAGTTGAATGCACACTGGTCCATAGTCAGGGGTACTGTTAATGTGGCACTGTGAGTATGCATGTCCATTGTCATCATCATTCTTATGAGAGTTTTCTTGTGTTTCAGCGGTGGAGAAGGTCCTGTACTCCCAGACGTTTGGGGGGATGCTGTTTGCTGTGTTCGGGGGGACTCCCCAGATTGTGCTGCTCACCACGGCTCCACTGGCCCTCTTCACTAAAAGTAGGAATCTCTTTGTATACAGTGTCTTTAAGTGGCATTTAGGCACTGAAGCATCTATACAAATATACACAGGTTTAGACTCATTTCTTTGTTTTGTCTTTCAGTCCTAGGATCATGTATATGGAAGTGCCTGTGTCAATCCTGTCATCTTCTCCACTGGTCACTGAACCCGCCCTCATTGTAGTACACTGAGCAAGGGAAATAACTTGTTTTGTCTAAATCTATACATGGGTGCCAATTTGTTTCTTCCCTCAAGGTCCCCCGGCACCGTAGCCCGACAGTGTGAGTCAGTCATCATGCTTTCAAACACAATTCCAGATGTGTGTACTAGTTACGCGTCAACTTTAAGAGGCCATTGGATGAGATGACTTTGTTATTTAACGAGGTGAGCCAGATCTAACCCACTTGTCCTCTCTTCCAGTCATCTACAGCATCTGCGAGGACTTCTCCCTGCCCTTCCAGCCCATGTTCTGTTGTGTCGGACTCTGGAACGCGTTCTTCCTCGTGGTCTTCTCCGTGTTTGATCTCAGCATCCTCATGCAGTTCTCCACAAGGTAACCTTCAGTACCCCAGAGACAGAGACTTCACACAAGAGACCACACACTAGAGACTTCACACTAGAGACGTCACACCAGACTTCACACAAGAGACCACACACTAGAGACTTCACACTAGAGACCACACACTAGAGACTTCACACCAGACTTCACACAAGAGACCACACACTAGAGACTTCACACAAGAGACCACACACTAGAGACTTCACACAAGAGACCACACACCAGAGATTTCACACTAGATACTTCACACCAGAGACTTCACACCAGAGATTTCACACTAGAGACTTCACACCAGATGCTTCACACTAGAGACATCACACCAGAGATTGCACACCTGAAACTCCACACCAGATACTTCACACCAGAGACGTCACACCTGAGACTTCACACCAGAGATTTCACACTAGAGACATCACATTAGAGACTTCACACCAGATGCTTCACACTAGAGACTTCACACCAGATGCTTTTCACTAGAGACTTCACACCAGAGACAGACTTCACACAACAGACCACACACTAGAGACTTCACACAAGAGACCACACACCTGAGACTACACACCAGATGCTTCACACTAGAGACTTCACACCAGATGCTTCACACTAGAGACTTCGCACCAGACTTCACACAAAAGACTTCACACAAGAGACCACACACCTGAGACATCACACCAGATGCTTCACACTAGAGACTTCACACCAGATGCTTCACACTAGAGAATTCACACCAGAGACTTCACACCAGACTTCACACAAGAGACCACACACAAGAGACCACACACTAGAGACTTCACACAAGAGACCACACACAAGAGACCACACACTAGAGACTTCACACAAGAGACCACACACCTGAGACTTCACACCAGAGATTTCACACTAGAGACTTCACACCAGAGACACCAAAGACTTCACACTAGAAACGTCACACCTGAGACTTCACACCAGAGATTTCACACTAGACTTCACACCAGAGACGCCAAAAACTTAACACTAGAGACTTCACACCAGAGACGCCAAAGACTTAACACTAGAGACTTTACACCTGAGACTTCACACCAGAGATTTCACACTAGAGACTTCACACCAGAGACGCCAAAGACTTCACACCAGAGATTTCACACCAGAGACTTCACACTAAAGACTTCACACCATAGACTTCACACTAAAGACTTCACACCAGATGCTTTACACGAGACTTCACACCAGAGATTTCACACTAGACTTCACACCAGAGAAGCCAAAAACTTAACACTAGACTTCACACCAGAGACGCCAAAGACTTCACATCAGAGATTTCACACCAGAGACTTCACACTAAAGACTTCACACCAGACTTCACACTAAAGACTTCACACCAGATGCTTTACACTAGACTTCACACCAGAGATTTCACACTAGAAACCTCACACCTGAGACTTCACACCAGATATTTCACACTAGACTTCACACCAGAGACGCCAAAAACTTAACACTAGAGACTTCACACCAGAGACTTCACACCAGAGACGCCAAAGACTTAACACTAGAGACTTCACACCAGAGACGCCAAAGACTTAACACTAGAGACTTCACACCAGGTGCCTCACACCTCAGATTTCACACCAGAGATATCACACTAGAGACTTCACACCAGAGACACCAAAGACTTCACACTGGAGACACTAGTGACTTAAACACTGCCATACTATTGCCCTCCATGGGGATCGAGGTTAGAAGTGGTCACTGGGAACCCCTGGGGATCCTGGTTAGAAGTGGTCCCCAGAAACCCATGGGGATCCTGGTTAGAAGAGGTCCCCAGAAACCCATGGGGATCCTGGTTAGAAGTGGTCCCCAGCAACCCATGGGGCTCCTGGTTAGAAGTGGTCCCCAGCAACCCATAGGGATCAAGGTTAGAAGTGGTCCCCAGCAACCCATAGGGATCCTGGTTAGAAGTGGTCCCCAGAAACCCATGGGGATCCTGGTTAGAAGTGGTCCCCAGAAACCCATGGGGATCAAGGTTAGAAGTGGTCCCCAGAAACCCATAGGGATCAAGGTTTGAAGTGGTCCCCAGAAACCCATAGGGATCAAGGTTAGAAGTGGTCCCCAGAAACCCATAGGGATCAAGGTTAGAAGTGTTCCCCAGAAACCCATGGGGATCCTGGTTAGAAGAGGTCCCCAGAAACCCATGGGGATCCTGGTTAGAAGTGGTCCCCAGCAACCCATAGGGATCCTGGTTAGAAGTGGTCCCCAGAAACCCATATGGATCAAGGTTAGAAGTGGTCCCCAGCAACCCATAGGGATCAAGGTTAGAAGTGGTCCCCAGAAACCCATAGGGATCCTGGTTAGAAGTGGTCCCCAGAAACCCATAGGGATCAAGGTTAGAAGTGGTCCCCAGAAACCCATAGGGATCAAGGTTAGAAGTGGTCCCCAGCAACCCATAGGGATCAAGGTTAGAAGTGGTCCCCAGAAACCCATAGGGATCAAGGTTAGAAGTGGTCCCCAGAAACCCATAGGGATCAAGGTTAGAAGTGGTCTCCAGAAACCCATGGGGATCCTGGTTAGAAGTGGTCCCCAGCAACCCATGGGGATCCTGGTTAGAAGAGGTCCCCAGAAACTCATGGGGATCCTGGTTAGAAGAGGTCCCCAGAAACCCATGGGGATCCTGGTTAGAAGAGGTCCCCAGAAACCCATAGGGATCAAGGTTAGAAGTGTTCCCCAGCAACCCATAGGGATCAAGGTTAGAAGTGTTCCCCAGAAACCCATGGGGATCCTGGTTAGAAGTGGTCCCCAGAAACCCATATGGATCAAGGTTAGAAGTGGTCCCCAGAAACCCATAGGGATCAAGGTTAGAAGTGGTCCCCAGAAACCCATAGGGATCAAGGTTAGAAGTGGTCCCCAGAAACCCATGGGGATCCTGGTTAGAAGTGGTCCCCAGAAACCCATGGGGATCCTGGTTAGAAGTGGTCCCCAGAAACCCATGGGGATCCTGGTTAGAAGTGGTCTCCAGAAACCCATGGGGATCCTGGTTAGAAGTGGTCCCCAGAAACCCATGGGGATCAAGGTTAGAAGTGTTCCCCAGAAACCCATGGGGATCCTGGTTAGAAGTGGTCCCCAGAAACCCATGGGGATCCTGGTTAGAAGTGGTCCCCAGAAACCCATGGGGATCAAGGTTAGAAGTGTTCCCCAGAAACCCATGGGGATCCTGGTTAGAAGTGGTCCCCAGCAAACCATGGGGATCCTGGTTAGAAGTGGTCCCCAGCAACCCATGCTTGTCATAAATGGCAACTTAATGGTCACTTGGTTTATTGCATGTACTTCAACAGTGTGAATCATTGCTCATAATATCCCCGAGTTGTCTCGACCACAGTAGATTATTTACTGACCATAATCATACGTAAAGGATAAGAGGGTTTGGTTTGAAAATGTAGACATGAAAGAGAGGTTTGTCCTGACCCCGTTTGTTTACAATTTTAACCAAGTCCAATAGAAAATGTGTTATCAGTCTTATAAACTGAAAGAAAAATGTGAAACAACAAATATCAACTTCTTGTTTCCAAAGGTTCTTGTTTGAACCTTGGGAAAACAGACGTCAAATATCACTTGCAAAATTATAAATACTGACAAGCGATGTTATGCTGAAAGACTTTGTTTCAGGTCCTCCGAGGAAATATTCGCCCTGTTCATCTCTATTGCCTTCGCCGTGGACGCCTTCAAGAACTGTGCCGGCAGTGAGAGTTACACCTTGTCCTCAGTCTCTTGTTAATCTGCTTAGCATGCTCAGCGTTTGTGTACAGCGATGTTTCATTTCTTCTGTAAATACTTTGTAGTGTAATGTTGCCAGTTGTATGCATAAATGTTTTCTCGTATATGCTTGCATTTATATAAAAAGTCAAAACAATATTTTGTTCAAAATTTTCAGATTTTGAGGAGTACTACTCTGTCCCTGCATGTTACGCAAGCAGCAGCAACACAGACAACTCCACCCTTCTCAACATCACCACCGCCGCCACCACCACCGTCACATCAGTAACAACCACCGTCGCAGACAACATGAGCACTACACTGAGTGACCTGGCCCAGCATGCACCAGAGGAAGTGTGTCGGAGGGACATCAGCATGTTGTACCTCGTGCTGCTGTTTGGAACAGTCTGGATTGGTGTGACTCTTTTCAACTTTAAAAATACGTAAGTACAACGCCCCAGATCCTGATGATATGATGAAATGCCAGGCTGATTTCTTATTAAAGCAGACTAAAGGTAACTACAAGTAAGATTCAGAAGTACTGTTTGCCAGTTACATAGACACAAGTCAGTGTATGTTTTATAATCTCAGCATTCAAGATAATATTAACATTCTAATAAATGTGACTTAAAATAAATTTCATCACAAAGTCGTGTAAATGGTCAACATAAATCTTTGAGGGTGACCACAGCTGAACCATCATCTATATATCATCTGTATATCATCTATATATCATCTGTGTATCATCTATATATCATCTGTGTATCATCTATGTATCATCTGTGTATCATCTATATATATCGTCTGTATATCATCTGTGTGTCATCTATATGTCATCTGTATATCATCTGTGTATCTTCTGTATATCATCTGTATATCATCTGTATATCATCTATATATCATCTGTGTATCATCTATGTATCATCTGTGTATCATCTATATATATCGTCTGTATATCATCTGTGTGTCATCTATATGTCATCTGTATATCATCTGTGTATCTTCTGTATATCATCTGTATATCATCTGTGTATCATCTGTGAATCATCTATATATCTTTTATATTTGTATGCACTACGTTTCTCCAATGACTACCACTGTGGAGATTCCTGGTAAGAATAGGTCCCCTGTATACCTCGGCTGGTCATGAGACACAACCACACTGATCGGGGGTCAGACTCGGTGACCTTCTTGTCATCATAACCCCGCAGTATATCGTTGGTCGCAATATCATACACTGTATCTTCGGGTCCAGACCTGATTCTTTACAGGCCACTATCATTAAGTTGGAAAATTGCTGAGTGTAGTATTAAAAAAACTTGAAGCTTTCACATTATTAGTTTTGTGACCCTGAGTTACATGTGTGTTTTTCTACCAGTCCGTACCTGACGTCGGGGAAGCGGGAGATTCTGGCTGACTACTCCCTCCCCGTCGCTGTCATCATCATGGCCTTCTTCGGCGCCTATGTCTTCCGGGACGTCAACAGTAAGTAGCAGCACAGTATCTCCACGTCACATGGTTTCGAGCCTTACCCTTTCCCCTAAACTATACGTAACCACGTGCTTACAAACGCTTCAAAGCCCACCGAAGACATCCAAGTGTTCACCACTTGCCACTGAAGTTATGTTACGAACTAGGCTACACGAGGCGAGGTATTCAATAAGTAATGAAAATATACCTCAAAATCTTTTTAAATGTTTTCAAAGGAAAGACATAATTTAAGTGTATTGCTATTGTCATAAGACAAGTAATCAGAAATACTTCTTAGGGGCTGAAAAACACAGTACGAGAGGATACATATGACAATGCTTTGTATTGAGGAGGAACACATGAAGGTAGTGCACCTTTCCGGACAGTGCTGCATCCCTAGATGTGCCAGAAACCTATTGATGTGGGTTCGAATCCTGGTTTGCACTGGTTATGATTGTGTTTGTCAACACAATGCCCGTGCTTGTGGCTTTTACTGAAACAGCTGAAACTGAATCAAAGTGGCGTTCAACCCAACTCACTCACTGGGATGGATTTGCTTCTTGTTACATCAGTTCCTTTAAAACACAGTGTGATGTTAGTGTCACAAGTATAAGCCAATGGAAAAGTACGGGAATTAGTAGAGTAATACATAGAGTATTAGTATACAAGCATTGTTGGACACCTGTGTTTAACAAGTAAAGGCTGTGAAGGATTGTCTTATTGTCCAGTAACAGGGGAGACTGGTATAGCAGAGAAATTGTTCAGTATTGAAGGAAGAACCTTCAATGAAATAATCTGAAACCTATACACTCCTACATTTGTTTGAGATATTGAATGATGTATATTGACCTTACCTGACTCTACACAGTGCTTAACTTCCCAACCTTTCACAAACAGACAGTACTGGAACAGAGAGACAGTACTGACACAGAGAGACAGTACTGACACAGAGAGACAGTTGAAACAGAATATAGCCTGTGCCCCGATATCCAGGAGTTTGTGTAAACGTCCCAAGTCAGGGAAAGATCCACATCCTTAATGTTCTTTTGCCAAACAATGCTCTGTTTGCTCTCTTGTATCAGTTGAGGAATTAGCATCTTACAGAAAGGCTCGTGTTTAGCGAACAAAATAACTTGCAAAATGGAAGAGGATGCAGACCTCCTCTACGTCAAGCTAGTATCTTCGGGCCTAGTTGCCACCCTTTTAGTTGCCATGTTTTAAATCCTGCTTCCATCCATGCTTTTGGGGAACAACTGCTTGAACATAACCCTGACGACCTAGTTTGCTGCCTGTTAGCACTGATGTCGCCAGCGCCCAACCAGCGCCAGATCGACGTTCCTACGCTCTGTCGGACAATTTTCCCCCTGGTCTGTAGGTTCTAATTGCCTTCTGGAACGCCTGATGACCTCCCTGATGCCTTTGGCAAGTGCTGTCGCCAGATGTCGCCGGAGTCACCAGCAGTTGCTGGGACATTGCCATCCGTCGCCGTACATTGACCAGGCTGTACCATTGCCTCGTACTTCTGATCACCTACGCCAGGTCCCTTCACCTTGTCAGCTCATTGCCTCCTTCAACTCTCGCCGTACAGTGACCAGGCTGTACCATCACCTCGTACTTCTGATCACCGACGCCAGGCCCCTTCACCTGGTCAGCCCATTGCCTCCTTCAACTCTCACCGTACAGTGACCAGGCTGTACCATTGCCTCGTACTTCTGATCACCAATGCCAGGTCCCTTCCCCCGGTCAGCCCATTGCCTCCTTCAACTCTCGCCGTACATTGACCAGGCTGTACCATTGCCTCGTACTTCTGATCACCAACGCCAGGTCCCTTCTCCTGGTCAGCCCATTGCCTCCTTCAACTCTAGCGAACTGGGTCCTCAGTTGCACCCCATTCATCTATGTATCTGTTTATCTATTCATCATCTGTATATCATCTATTCAATCTCTGGATGCTGCCTTTACTGCCCTCCAACTTCAACCTTCTATTCAGTTGGGGCACGGGTGGCCGAGTCGTCTCAGGCGCTGCCATTCGCTGTGCAGAGCACGCCAGAAAACTATGATTGTGGGTTCGAATCCGGGTTCGGCCAAATTATGTTTCTAGGTTTGTCAGCACCAGATCTGTGCTCGTAGGTTTCACCGAAGTGGTAAACGTCTAAGACCTGCATCACTTCAGGCTTTCCTCCCACATTAAGCTGACATGCCATGATATAACTGGAATACTGTTCAAAGCGGTGTTAAACACAACTCACTCAATTCTGTTCAGATACCTCGGCTCAGGAAGGAACACTACCCATTCAACTCTTGCCTGTAGATGAGGACATTCGTCTGCTTGTCAGATCCTTTAAACCAAGTTCAGCAATTCCTGGGACTAATGCTCAACCACTGCCATGCAAGACTGTTTAAGACAAGCACCCATATGAAGTTGCCTTCTCTCTGCATTGGACTGACAACAATGACAGTATTGCTTTGGCTCCATAACCATTGCTCATTGCTTGGCTCTCCTTAAGCAGTCTTTGCAGGATCCATCTTTCAAACCTCAGATGAAGTGACAGGCTTGGTCTGGCCCTGCACTTTCACAGCCAGATCCTGACAGTAGTCAAGGAGGCACTGAGTTTGGATGTAAACCAAGAACAATTCCGCCTCCTTAACATCATGGAGGTCACCTCCCCTCCCATCTGTCTCAACAGAGGAAATCATATGTTGGAAACTCAAAGCTCTGGTCCACTTATCCTGGCCCAGCAGCTGTCCAACCCCCAATGTCATTGAGTGTGCCCTCTGCGAGGAACAAGGTTGCTTTCAGCCCTACTATAGTATAGACAAGGTAGGACCACACCAGTTCCTCAATAACCATTCTGGGTTGCTGGATACTGTCCCGTCGGTACCTGGTAAAGTATTGGTACCGTTTTTCCCCTCTCTCGAGCCAGATGCCGAAACGCCTTGCCTTTGCACATTGTCTTGCGATGTTCTCTAAACCTTCAGACCACCATTCTGTTCCAAGAGGGCTTGACCTACATCTTATCCCCTAGACTGCCGAGGATGGACCGCTACCTCGCTGCCGCCTAGAGGGATTCTTGCCTGACTCTTTCACTGTATTTCCTCAGTAGTTGAACACGGCACTATGTAGCGTCAGGTAAGGTCAAACATGGGCATTTCTGAAAAAATGCAATGTTTTTATACTTACCTGAGGCTACACCTTTAGACCTACCCGGACTGCATCCACCTCCTCCATCTTACTGTTCTGGTACCACTGTATACTGCGCCTGCTGTCATACGGTGAAGAATAGGAGGGAGTACGGGCAAAGGGGCATAACTCCTGGATATTGGGGCATGGGCTATGGTCTGTTTCAACCGTCTCTCTGTTCCAGTACTGTAGTTATTTATTCAGAATATTGGCAATGATGTAATAGACGTAGTATTTTTAGAGTTATACGCACTAATAACTATTATTTAATTTCAGTGGGCTTCAGTTTTAACTCTGAGAGTGAGTCAGGAATTTTCAAGCTGGTAGAAATGAATGAGCTAACAATTGGTGCCATCTTTGGTGCCATGGGCCTCGGGTTTTGTCTATCCCTCCTCTTCTTCATGGACCAAAACATTTCTGCTGCCCTTGTCAACGCACCACAGAATAAGTGAGTAAACATACCACCCCCTCCTCTATCACAGATCATATCAGTAAACATACCACCCACTTCCCGATCACAGAATAAGTGAGTAAACATACCACCCCCTCCTCTATCACAGATCATATCAGTAAACATACCACCATCACAGAACATATCAGTAAACATACCACCCTCTCCTCCATCACAGAACATATCAGTAAACATACCACCTCCATCAAAGAACATGTCAGTAAACATACCACCCTCTCCTCCATCACAGATCATATCAGTAAACATACCACCCTCTCCTCCACCACAAAACATATCAGTAAACATACCACCCCCTCCTCCATCAAAGAACATGTCAGTAAACATACCACCCCCTCCTCCATCACAGAACATGTCAGTAAACATACCACCCTCTCCTCCATCACAGATCATATCAGTAAACATACCACCCTCTCCTCCACCACAAAACATATCAGTAAACATACCACCCCCTCCTCCATCAAAGAACATGTCAGTAAACATACCACCCCCTCCTCCATCACAGAACATATCAGTAAACATACCACCCCCTCCTCCATCAAAGAACATGTCAGTAAACATACCACCCCCTCCTCCATCACAGATCATATCATTAAACATACCACCCCCTCCTCCACCACAAAACATATCAGTAAACATATCACCCCCCTCCTCCATCTTAGAACATATCAGTAAACATACCATCCCCTCCTCCACCACAAAACATATCAGTAAACATACCACCCCCTCCTCCATCTTAGAACATATCAGTAAACATACCATCCCCTCCTCCATCACAGAACATGTCAGTTAACATACCACCCTTTCCTCCATCACAGAACATATCAGTAAACATACCACCCCCTCCTCCATCAAAGAACATGTCAGGAAACATACCACCCCCCTCCTCCACCACAAAACATATCAGTAAACATACCACCCCCTCCATCTCAGAACATATCAGTAAACATACCATCCCCTCCTCCATCACAGAACATATCAGTAAACATACCACCCCCTCCTCCATCAAAGAACATATCAGTAAACATACCATCCCCTCCTCCATCTCAGAACATATCAGTAAACATACCATCCCCTCCTCCATCACAGAACATATCAGTAAACATACCACCCCCCTCCTCCATCAAAGAACATGTCAGTAAACATACCACCCTCTCCTCCATCACAGATCATATCAGTAAACATACCACCCTCTCCTCCACCACAAACATATCAGTAAACATACCACCCTCTCCTCCATCACAGATCATATCAGTAAACATACCACCCCCTCCTCCATCACAGATCATATCAGTAAACATACCACCCTCTCCTCCATCACAGATCATATCAGTAAACATACCACCCCCTCCTCCACCACAAAACATATCAGTAAACATACCACCCCCTCCTCCATCTTAGAACATATCAGTAAACATACCATCCCCTCCTCCATCACAGAACATGTCAGTTAACATACCACCGTTTCCTCCATCTTAGAACATATCAGTAAACATACCACCCCCTCCTCCATCAAAGAACATGTCAGTTAACATACCACCCCCTCCTCCATCACAGAACATATCAGTTAACATACCACCCCTTCCTCCATCACAGAACATGTCAGTAAACATACCACCCCCTCCTCCATCAAAGAACATGTCAGTAAACATACCACCCCCTCCTCCATCACAGAACATATCAGTAAACATACTACCCCCTCCTCTATCACAGATGATATCAGTAAACATACCACCCCCTCCTCAATCACAGAACATATCACTTAACATACCACCCCCTCCTCCACCACAGAATATGTCAGTAAACATACCACCCCCTCCTTCATCTCAGAACATATCAGTAAACATACCATCCTCTCCTCCATCACAGAACATGTCAGTTAACATACCACCCTCTCCCCCATCAAAGAACATATCAGTAAACATACCATCCTCTCCTCCATCTTAGAACATGTCAGTAAACATACCACCCCTCCTCCACCAAAGAACATTTCAGTAAACATACCACCCCCTCCTCCATCAAAGAACATGTCAGTAAACATACCACCCCCTCCTCCATCAAAGAACATGTCAGTAAACATACCATCCTCTCCTCCATCACAGAACATGTCAGTAAACATACCACCCTCTCCTCCATCACAGAACATACCAGTAAACATACCACCCCCTCCTCCATCACAGAACACATCAGTTAACATACCACCCCCTTGATCACAGAACATATCGGTAAACAAACCACCCCCTCCTCTATCACAGATCATATCAGTAAACATACCACCCCTTCCTCCACCACAGAACATATTAGTAAACATACCACCCCTCCTCCACCACAGAACATATCAGTAAACATACCACCCCTTCCTCCACGACAGAACATGTCAGTAAACATACCACCCCTTCCTCCATCTCAGAACATATCAGTAAACATACCACCCCTCCTCCACCACAGAACATATCAGTAAACATACCACCCCTTCCTCCACCACAGAACATGTCAGTAAACATACCACCCCTTCCTCCACCACAGAACACGTCAGTAAACATACCACCCCTTCCTCCACCACAGAACATATCAGTAAACATACCACCCCTTTCTCCATCTCAGAACATATCAGTAAACATACCACCCCTCCTCCACCACAGAACATATCAGTAAACATACCACCCCTTCCATCACCACAGAACATGTCAGTAAACATACCACCCCTTCCTCCACCACAGAACGCGTCAGTAAACATACCACCCCTTCCTCCACCACAGAACATGTTAGCAGTGTAGTTAGAGAAGAATAACTGTATAATTCTGTGTGTATCTTGTATGGCAGTCATACTATATAGCTTCACCTACTGTTCACAGGATGAAGAAAGGGACGGCCTATCACTGGGACCTGCTTGTGATTGCTGCTGTGAATGCCGCCCTGTCGCTGGTGTGTTTCCCGTGGGTGCACGCTGCCCTGCCCCACAGCCCCCTGCATGTGCTGGCCCTGGCCGATGTGGAGGAGAGGGTGGAACAGGGACACATCTCACGGATGTAAGTCTCATGTCTCCATCACTGTATGTTTCAGTGTTGTCAGGGTATCCTTCTATTGAGGTTAAACCTTGGTGTGATGTGATGTTTCAGTGTTGTCAGGGTATCCTTCTATTGAGGTTAAACCTTGCTGTGATGTGATGTTTCAGTGTTGTCAGGGTATCCTTCTATTGAGGTTAAACCTTGGTGTGATGTGATGTTTCAGTGTTGTCAGGGTATCCTTCTATTGAGGTTAAACCTTGCTGTGATGTGATGTTTCAGTGTTGTCAGGGTATCCTTCTATTGAGGTTAAACCTTGCTGTGATGTGATGTTTCAGTGTTGTGAGGGTACGAGAAACGCGACTCACAGCAATCTTCTCCCACATCCTGATCGGCCTGAGCCTGCTGTTCATGCCAGTGTTGGCGTATATCCCGACCCCTGTCCTGTATGGCCTCTTCCTGTACGTGGCCGTCACGGCGCTCTATGGCAACCAGATGTTCGAGAGAATCCTGCTCTTCTTTACTGAACAGGTTAGTCCAAATTTAAACAGACTAGTAGTGTCCCAGATGTAGATTGAAGGAATGTCAGATAGAACTTTACATGACTCTGTTTGGCAGATAGTCCTTAGTAAATTATTTCCTTGTTCTCAGGCAGCAGCTTCTCTGATTTATTATCATTTATTAAATATTTTAAGATTTGGACATGGTTTTGGCACAACATAGAAATAAGCTACCTCCTCCTAAATATAGTGACAGAAAGAAACTAGTTGAGAACAAGTACATCCTTCTCATTCCTTCTTATATTGAACTGACAACTCAGTACGATGCACGTTTGACTGCCATGTTCTTCACAGGCTGCCTACCCCCCGTACCACTACATCCGGCGGGTGCCACAACGCAAGATGCACATCTTCACCCTGACTCAGTTGTTCCAGCTGGCTGTCCTGTGTGGATTCGGCTTCTCCACCTGGCCCTACCTGAAAATGTTCTTCCCGGTCCTCATCTTCTTCCTTATACCCATCAGGTAATATGAAGTTATACTCCCTACCTCAATATGTCCTTATACCCATCAGCTAATACACGGTTATACTCCCTACCTCAATATGTCCTTATACCCATCAGCTAATACACGGTTATACTCCCTACCTCAATATGTCCTTATACCCATCAGGTAATATGAGGTTTTACTCCCTACCTCAATATGTCCTTATACCCATCAGCTAATACACGGTTATACTCCCTACCTCAATATGTCCTTATACCCATCAGGTAATATGAGGTTATACTCCCTACCTCAATATGTCCTTATACCCATCAGCTAATACACAGTTATTCTCCCTACCTCAATATGTCCTTATACCCATAAGGTAACACCCAGCTATACTCCCTACCTCAATATGTCCTTATACCCATCAGCTAATACACGGTTATACTCCCTACCTCAATATGTCCTTATACCCATCAGGTAATATGAAGTTATACTCCCTACCTCAATATGTCCTTATACCCATCAGCTAATACACGGTTATACTCCCTACCTCAATATGTCCTTATACCCATCAGGTAATACACGGTTATACTCCCTACCTCAATATGTCCTTATACCCATCAGCTAATACACGGTTATACTCCCTACCTCAATATGTCCTTATACCCATCAGGTAATACACGGTTATACTCCCTACCTCAATATGTCCTTATACCCATCAGCTAATACACGTTTATACTCCCTACCTCAATATGTCCTTATACCCATCAGGTAATATGAGGTTATACTCGCTACCTCAATATGTCCTTATACCCATCAGCTAATACACGGTTATACTCCCTACCTCAATATGTCCTTATACCCATCAGGTAATATGAGGTTATACTCGCTACCTCAATATGTCCTTATACCCATCAGGTAATATGAGGTTATACTCCCTACCTCAATATGTCCTTATACCCATCAGCTAATACACGGTTATACTCCCTACCTCAATATGTCCTTATACCCATCAGCTAATACACGGTTATACTCCCTACCTCAATATGTCCTTATACCCATCAGGTAATATGAGGTTATACTCGCTACCTCAATATGTCCTTATACCCATCAGCTAATACACAGTTATACTCCCTACCTCAATTTGTCCTTATACCCATCAGGTAATATGAGGTTAAACTCGCTACCTCAATATGTCCTTATACCCATCAGGTAATATGAGGTTATACTCCCTACCTCAATATGTCCTTATACCCATCAGCTAATACACGGTTATACTCCCTACCTCAATATGTCCTTATACCCATCAGGTAATATGAGGTTATACTCGCTACCTCAATATGTCCTTATACCCATCAGGTAATATGAGGTTATACTCCCTACCTCAATATGTCCTTATACCCATCAGCTAATACACGGTTATACTCCCTACCTCAATATGTCCTTATACCCATCAGGTAATATGAGGTTATACTCCCTACCTCAATATGTCCTTATACCCATCAGGTAATATGAGGTTATACTCGCTACCTCAATATGTCCTTATACCCATCAGCTAATACACGGTTATACTCCCTACCTCAATATGTCCTTATACCCATCAGGTAATATGAGGTTATACTCGCTACCTCAATATGTCCTTATACCCATCAGGTAATATGAGGTTATACTCCCTACCTCAATATGTCCTTATACCCATCAGCTAATACACGGTTATACTCCCTACCTCAATATGTCCTTATACCCATCAGCTAATACACGGTTATACTCCCTACCTCAATATGTCCTTATACCCATCAGGTAATACCTTGCTATACTCCCTACCTCAATATGTCCTTATACCCGCCAGGTAATACCCAGCTATACTCCCTACCTCAATATGTCCTTATACCCATCAGGTAATACCTAGCTATACTCCCTACCTCAATATGTCCTTATACCTGTCCGGTAATACCCAGCTGTACTCCCTACCTCAATATGTCCTTATGCCAATCAGGTAATACCCAGCTATACTCCCTACCTCAATATATCCTTATACCCATCAGGTAATACCCAGCTATACTCCCTACCTCAATACGTCGTTATGCCTATCAGGTAATACCCAGCTATACTCCCTACCTCAATATGTCCTTTTACCTATCAGGTAATACCCAGCTATACTCCCTACCTCAATATGTCCTTATACCCGCCAGGTAATACCCAGCTATACTCCCTACCTCAATATGTCCTTATACCCATCAGGTAATACCTAGCTATACTCCCTACCTCAATATGTCCTTATACCCATCAGGTAATACCCAGCTATACTCCCTACCTCAATATGTCCTTATACCCATCAGGTAATACCTAGCTATACTCCCTACCTCAATATGTCCTTATACCCAAAAGGAAACACCCAGCTATACTCCCTACCTCAATATGTCCTTATACCCATCAGGTAATATGAGGTTATACTCGCTACCTCAATATGTCCTTATACCCATCAGGTAACACCCAGCTATACTCACTACCTCAATATGTCCTTATACCAATCAGGTTATATGAGGTTATACACCCTACCTCAATATGTCCTTATACCCATAAGGTAACACCCAGCTATACTCCCTACCTCAATATGTTCTTATACCCATCAGGTAATATGAGGTTATACTCACTACCTCAATATGTCCTTATACCCATCAGGTAATATGAGGTTATACTCCCTACCTCAATATGTCCTTATACCCATAAGGTGACACCCAGCTATACTCCCTACATCAATATGTCCTTATACCCATCAGGTTATATGAGGTTATACTCACTGCCTCAATATGTCCTTATACCCATGAGGTAACACCCAGCTATACTCCCTACCTCAATATGTCCTTATACCCATCCGGTAATATGAGGTTATACTCCTACCTCAATATGTCCTTATACCCATAAGGTAACCAACCAGCTATACTCCCTACCTCAATATGTCCTTATACCCATCAGGTAATATGAGGTTATAATCACTACCTCAATATGTCCTTATACCCGTAAGGTAACACCCAGCTATACTTACTACCTCAATATGTCCTTATACCCATCAGGTAATATGAGGTTATACTCACTACCTCAATATGTCCTTATACCCATAAGGTAACAACCAGCTATACTCCCTACCTCAATATGTCCTTATGCCCATCAGGTAATACCCAGCTATACTCCCTACCTCAATATGTCCTTATACCCACCATGTAATACCCAGCTATACTCCCTACCTCAATATGTCCTTATGCCCGTCAGGTAATACCCAGCTATACTCCCTACCTCAATATGTCCTTATACCCATCAGGTAATACCTTGCTATACTCCCTACCTCAATATGTCCTTATACCCGCCAGGTAATACCCAGCTATACTCCCTACCTCAATATGTCCTTATACCCACCAGGTAATACCCAGCTATACTCCCTACCTCAATATGTCCTTATGCCCATCAGGTAATACCCAGCTATACTCCCTACCTCAATATGTCCTTATACCCATCAGGTAATACCTAGCTATACTCCCTACCTCAATATGTCCTTATACCCATCAGGTAATACCCAGCTATACTCCCTACCTTAATATATCCTTAAACCCACCAGGTAATACTTAGCTATACTCCCTACATCAATATGTCCTTATAACCACCAAACTTTCCTCACAAAACTCTTTTTTCCAAGTGTATTATATTCCAAGGAAGAGAATTTATAAATGTCAACTTCTTTATTTATGATTGACATCCATGAATTCTCTTCCTCATGTGTATCTCTTCTAAATGCCTTTCAAAGACTTATTATATTCTATATGTTTCCCTTTTCAGACACAAAATCATCCCCAAATTGATTGATAGCAAGTACTTGAATGCTATGGACAGCCACTAGTGATGTGACATGGTTGTACAGAGACAGGTGTGATGTGGTTCTACAGAGACAGGTGTGACATGGTTGTACAGAGACAGGTGTGATGTGGTTGGAGATGCAGGTGTTGTGTTGACCGAGGGGAGTTTGGGGGAACTCCAAAGAGACAGGTGTGATGTGGTTGTACAGACACAGGTGTGATGGGGTTGTACAGAGACAGGTGTGATGTGGTTGGAGATGCAGGTGTTGTGTTGACCGAGGGGAGTTTGGGGGAACTCCACAGTGACTGGTGTTGATTCAAAATGACTTCGTTGAATCCCCTGTCAACAGACAACCCTCTGCTACATAGGCTTCAATGATTCACGCTGACAACAGTGGACACCTTCGTATAAAGGAAAACTATTAATGTGATTTAACCGACAACACAGCCAGACATAAACAGCTACTTTTTGACTGGTACATAATAACAAGGAGAAGGTTGACACAAGATTTGTGATAGTTCAGCTTCAGGATTGTGTGTTCTCTGTTTGTAGGCAACATCAAGGATGACTTCAATTCAGTCTGTGATTTCTGTTCCTGTGTTTCACAGTCGACACACTGAATGTTTTGTTTTCTATGTAGTTGATGTATATACATTTTTATATTTTTGAAAGCTGAATAATGGTTTAACAAGCATGTTGTTTGGCTGCAGTTGTGTTGAGTGCTAGCTCAGCTGTGTAGTGCTAGCTCAGCTGTGTAGTGCTAGCTCAGCTGTGTAGTGCTCAGGTTTAATGCCCAAGGCAGTGCTGGAGCTTGTATTGCATATCTATGTATCTCTAATTTTACTTAATCAATGTTTTGATTTCAATTCAATATCACTGAATTTATCAATTGCATAATATTGTTTTTTATCAGAATTTTTACCAGCTCAGCCGTGTCATTTTACCTTTGGTTGATTCTGTACTGTTTTAGTCTCTTTGATGTTCTGCTTGTTGTTAGTGAGCACTCTACATTGATGTTGCACTCACAGAATATGTCACATTGATATGATAAGTATTATTTTTTATAACTAAAAAATGTTAAATCAAAGTTTTAAAAAGTTTTTAATATCATGTTATATAATCAGATATGGTGTATGAAAGAAAGTGTATGTGGAGTCGCCTTCCATTAGTACTTGTGAAGAGACAGGTGTACATGGCGTTTGCATTACACGATGTACCGTGGTACATGGTGTTTGTTTTATATGATCTACAAGGTTGTATACTGAGGTAATGTTAGACTGGTTTCAATTAGTTTTACAACAGTGTGTGTTTTAGGGGGGAAATGATCTGATTGTGTGTGTATACATGTGTTTTATTTTGTGTACGAGTGGTCTGATGCATGAGGTGGAAGTGGTGTACAACCAGAACGATACTCAGCTCCAGGGGGCGCTGTATGCGTCCTTCACCAGGGTTATATATCTGCTGGCCAACAAGACCCACTTGCACAATGCAGTCTTAGCGCTACAACTAGATCACGATCTTAGGCTACAATAGCCATCCACTTGCCGAAAGCGATTGCGGGTTAAGATCAGCTTCTGTATATAAGCTAAGATCTCAATCTTAGATTCAAGCCATCTTACAATCACGCTTAGGTCGGTTTGTACAAGTGGAATAAGACTTAGGTATGGCGGTTGTAAAGTTGATTGTTAGCACCTAAGATCAACTGTAACTGAGGTTGCTCTGTGCAGCTGGACCCATAATTGAGCCTAACTAAATCACTTCACATCTTCACAAAGAAGATTTGCTGGACATAGGTGATAAACATCTATTATATACAACAGCTTTTCACACCTGTTGCCCGTATCTTGTCTTGTATTATTTGCCCTGTTTACTGACTCACCATCCTGATTTTGATCCTTCTTCTCGTTGCCTAGCATGATGTGGAACCCTGTTGAGGTATTATTGGTTGCAGAGAGGGGGTGGTGAGAGTGTAATGTATGTTTGAAAACTGTGTGTTATATGAGACAGTCACAGAGACAATAAAAGACATAAAATTCACACAATCTTTGTGATGTCTGCTGCATTATTACAGTGGCCATCATCATTGTTATCATCGTCATCTCCTACACCTTCACATGAAGCTCCCAATCTCCCGTAGCACAGTGTGTACAATATAACCTAAACAAGGACATTTATTCATAAAAACTAGTTCCATCAGACTGTAGCTTTCATAACTGAATGATATGAAGTTCCCTCAATGTACCATAGCATTCCCTGACATACTGATGTGATTCCTCCCAATAACCTCACTGTCCCATAGGCTTCCCTCACTGTCCAATAGCGTACCTCACACTCCCATAATGTTCCCTCACTGTCCAAAAATATTACCTCACTATCCCATAGCATTTCCTCACTATACATCCTGGTTACCTCACTGTCCCATAGCGTTTCCTCACTGTCCCATAATGTTCCGTCACTGTCTCATAGCGTTTCCTCACTGTCCCATAGCATTCCCTCACTGTCCAATAGCGTACCTCACAGTCCCATAATGTTCCCTCACTGTCCAAAAGTATTACCTCACTGTCCCATAGCGTTTCCTCACTGACCCATAATGTTCTCTCACTGTCCCATAGCGTTACCTCACTGTCCCATGTTTCCTCACTGTCCCATAATGTTTCCTCACTTTCCCATAAGGTTACCTCACTATACATCCTGGTTCCCTCACTGTCCCATAGCGTCTTCTCACTGACCCATAATGTTCTCTCACTGTCTCATAGCCTTTCCTCACTGACCCATTATGTTTCCTCACTTTCCCATAAGGTTACCTCACTATACATCCTGGTTCCCTCACTGTCCCATAGCGTCTTCTCACTGACCCATTATGTTCTCTCACTGTCCCATAGCGTCTTCTCACTGACCCATAATGTTCTCTCACTGTCTCATAGCGTTTTCTCACTGACCAATAGCGTTTCCTCACTGACCCATAATGTTCTCTCACTGTCCCATAGCGTTACCTCACTGTCCCATAGCGTTACCTCACTGTCCCATGTTTCCTCACTGTCCCATAGCGTTTCCTCACTGACCCATAATGTTCTCTCACTGTCTCATAGCGTTTCCTCACTGACCCATAATGTTTCCTCACTTTCCCATAAGGTTACCTCACTATACATCCTGGTTCCCTCACTGTCCCATAGCGCCTTTTCACTGACCCATAATGTTCTCTCACTGTCCCATAGCGTTACCTCACTGACCCATAATGTTCTCTCACTGTCCAAAAGTATTACCTCACTGTCCCATAGCGTTTCCTCACTGACCCATAATGTTCCCTCACTGTCCAATAGCGTACCTCACACTCCCATAATGTTCCCTCACTGTCCAAAAATATTCCCTCACTATCCCATAGCATTTCCTCACTATACATCCTGGTTACCTCACTGTCCCATAGCGTTTCCTCTCTGTCCCATAATGTTCCGTCACTGTCTCATAGCGTTTCCTCACTGTCCCATAGCATTCCCTCACTGTCCAATAGCGTACCTCACAGTCCCATAATGTTCCCTCACTGTCCAAAAGTATTACCTCACTGTCCCATAGCGTTTCCTCACTGACCCATAATGTTCTCACACTGTCCCATAGCGTTACCTCACTGTCCCATGTTTCCTCACTGTCCCATAATGTTTCCTCACTGACCCATGTTTCCTCACTTTCCCATAAGGTTACCTCACTATACATCCTGGTTCCCTCACTGTCCCATAGCGTCTTCTCACTGACCCATAATGTTCTCTCACTGTCCCATAGCGTTTCCTCACTGACCCATAATGTTCTCTCACTGTCCCATAGCGTTTCCTCACTGACCCATAATGTTCTCTCACTGTCCCATAGCGTTTCCTCACTGACCCATAATGTTCTCTCACTGTCCCATAACGTCTCCTAACTGACCCATGTTCTCTCACTGTCCCATAGCGTTTCCTCACTGTCCCATAGCGTTTCCTCACTGCCTCAGTGTTTCCTCACTGTCCCATGTCATTTCCTCACTGTCCCATGTCATTTCCTCATTATACTTCCTGGTTCTCTCAGTGTCCCATAATGTTCCCTCACTGTTCCATAGTGTTCCTTCAATGTCCCATAAAATTACCTTACTGTCCCATAGTGATCCCTTACTGTCCCATGGCGTTCCCTCACTGTCCCATAAAATTACCTTACTGTCCCATAGTGATCCCTTACTGTCCCAAAGCGTTCCCTCACTGTCCCAAAGCATTACCTTACTGTCACATAATATTCACTCACAGTCCCATAGCGTTCCCTCACTGTCACATAAAATTACCTTACTGTCCCATAGTGATCCCTTACTGTTCCATGGCGTTCCCTCACTGTCCCAAAGCATTACCTAACTGTCCCATAATATTCACTCACAGTCCCATAGCGTTCCCTCACTGTCACATAAAAATTACCTTACTGTCCCATAGTGATCCCTTACTGTTCCATGGCGTTCCCTCACTGTCCCAAAGCATTACCTAACTGTCCCATAATATTCACTCACAGTCCCATAGCGTTCCCTCACTGTCCCAAAGCATTACCTTACTGTCCCATAGTGATCCCTTACTGTCCCATGGCGTTCCCTCACTGTCCCAAAGCATTACCTTACTGTCCCATAATATTCACTCACAGTCCCAAAGGGGCGGTCGGGTAGCCTTGTGGTTAAAGCGTTCGCTCGTCACGCCGAAGACCCGGGTTCGATTCCCGACATGGGTACAATGTGTGAAGCCCATTTCTGGTGTCCCCCGCCGTGATATTGCTGGAATATTGCTAAAAGCGGCGTAAAACCAAACTCACTCACTCACTCACTCACAGTCCCAAAGCGTTCCCTCACTGTCCCATACTATTCTCTCACTGTCCCATAATATTCCCTCACTGTACCATAGCGTTCCCTCACTGTCCATAGTGTTTCCTCACTGTCACATAGCGTTCCCTCACTGCCCCATAGCGTTCCCTCACTGTCCCATAATGTTCTTTCACTGTCCATAGTGTTTCCTCACTGTCCCATAGCATTCCCTCACTGTCCCATAATGTTCCCTCACTGTACCATAGCGTTCCCTCACTGTCCATAAAGTTCCCTCACCGTCCCATAGTGTTCCTTCACTGCCCCATAGCGTTCCCTCACTGTCCCATAGCGTTCCCTCAGTCTCCCACTGTAATTTCTTCAATATCTAGTCACCGAAACGAACGTAACATGTCTTCTTGCACGAAGTGGCTGCAGGGTCAAATGTCTCCCTCATAAATGTGGCCTAATGTGTCACACAAATGCTGGAATTCAAGGCGTCTTTTATAACATTCTTGATATATTTCATAGACTCTACACATATAACCATACGTTAAGCCAAAAGATATTTAGACACACGTTGAACAAATAGATAATTCATGTATTTCCCATTCAAATATTCATAGTCTACCCGTAAAGGTCTGGGTTAGAATAGGTCTTCAACAACCCATGCTTGTCGTAAGAGGCAACTCACGGGATATGGTGGTCAGGATAGCTGACTTGGTTGATGCATGTCATCGTATCCCATTTGTGTAGATCGATGCTCACGATGTCAATCACTGGATTGTCTGGACCAGACTCGATTATTTACAGACTGCCGTCATATAGCTGGAATATTGCTGAGTGCGACGTTAAACAACAAACAAAGCCATAAGTCCCATAGATCAGCACCCTCGCCCCTAAAGACTGCATATTGAATACATATTGAAGAACCGATGACCTATGTTTCCCTTCACACAAGTCACCTGAGAACTGGGTCAGACCAGATGGCTCGGGACTCTTGACAGTGTCGCTGTACCCTGACGGCGTGGATAGTTGTCGATAATATCTGGCCGAGAGGGGACATCGCTTTATCGCCTTCAATTACAGCCACGAGAAAGCGATAACACGAGACGAGAAAGCGATAGCATGAAACGAGAAAGTGATAACACGTAATATATACATAAAACAACAGTAACGACTTGTTAAACCACACATTATCATCAGGGGCGGTCGGGTGGCCTAATGGTTAAAGCGTTCGCTCGTCGCGCCGAAGACCCGCTTTCGATTCCCGACATGGGTACAATGTGTGAAGCCCATGTCTCGTGTTCCCCGCCGTGATGGAATATTGCTAAATGCGGCGTAAAACCTCACTCACCCACTATTATTAAATTCTACCTATGGTTGAAATGTTCTCCCTATGCACTGAAACACTATAACTGTACACTAACGAGTGTTAACTGAATGGCCCTAGGTTGGGGTTTGTAGGACCATCATTACCTATACTACTAGCGAGTGTTGACTGAATGGCCCTAGGTTGGGGTTTTGTAGGACCATCATTACCTATACTACTAGCGAGTGTTGACTGAATGGCCCTAGGTTGGGGTTTGTAGGACCATCATTACCTATACTACTAACGAGTGTTAACTGAATGGCCCTAGGTTGGGGTTTTGTAGGACCATCATTACCTATACTACTAACGAGTGTTGACTGAATGGCCCTAGGTTGGGGTTTGTAGGACCATCATTACCTATACTACTAACGAGTGTTAACTGAATGGCCCTAGGTTGGGGTTTTGTAGGACCATCATTACCTATACTACTAACGAGTGTTGACTGAATGGCCCTAGGTTGGGGGTTTGTAGGACCATCATTACCTATACTACTAGCGAGTGTTGACTGAATGGCCCTAGGTTGGGGGTTTGTAGGACCATCATTACCTATACTACTAACGAGTGTTGACTGAATGGCCCTAGGTTGGGGTTTGTAGGACCATCATTACCTATACTACTAACGAGTGTTAACTGAATGGCCCTAGGTTGGGGTTTTGTAGGACCATCATTACCTATACTACTAGCGAGTGTTGACTGAATGGCCCTAGGTTGGGGTTTTGTAGGACCATCATTACCTATACTACTAGCGAGTGTTGACTGAATGGCCCTAGGTTGGGGGTTTGTAGGACCATCATTACCTATACTACTAACGAGTGTTGACTGAATGGCCCTAGGTTGGGGTTTGTAGGACCATCATTACCTATACTACTA